CACTTTCTACAATAACAATTTCCATAGAACGATTGATCCGATGTGGTAATATTTTAGTTGCTAAGCAAAGATCCTTAAAAAAAAATAGTACCATTGTGAGATATGTAGAATAGTGCAGGAAATCCTCCAGGAAGAGAGATAAAGGGCCACCCTCCAGGGTACTCCGCAGGGGACTAGGTGTCCCCGTCCCAAAGTCACGACGGCTCCAGTCACAGGTGCATGATTTAAAAGGGGCAACTCTGCTGATAAGAAGAACTCGGGACAGGTGGTCCCATCCAACCACGTTTGTCTAAATATTTTAATTAAATATCGGCAATAAAGTCTGGCTGTATGTTGTTTTTGTGGCTATTAGGTATCCCCATGTTGTCTGTTTGCATATCCTAAACTGTGTCTGCTATTATTCCAAATGAAAGGATGAGGTTTGTTTGTTTGTTTGTTTTTAAGATTGAGCGAATTCTCTTCTGCTTGGTCTAGTAGCAATGTAAGTTTCCAGAAGCCCAAACCCAAATCTACACAGAACGCATAACTGGGTTCTTGATCTTGGCACATTAGATAGGCTAGCCAGCTACATGAGAGCTGCACAAAAATTCGAATTTACACAGGTGTAGGCCACTACCCTCTCATTTTGCAGGGCAAGGTTTCCCAATTCATAGGGGAATCGGTTCTGGAGAATGGGTCATGAAAGAACATTTTACCAGCTGCACTTGGCAGTTATTCGCCTCACTTGTGGCAGGTACCATTTTCTCCTCAATCTTCAGACACACCTGTTCCCGTCGCTGCAGACCCTGGGAGGCACTGGGGCCGGCTCAAAGAATGCAGCTCCTCTTGGGTGATCAGGAGTCTGGGTGTGGCTTCCCCCCCACACCTTCCCTGTCTCTTCCTTTCCCCCAGACTCAGGAAGAAAAAGAACGTTTGGAAACAATGGTCTCACCCACTTTCCCCTAATCCTCCACCCTTCCCAGCTTAATGAACTAAGTAAACATCATCAAAACAAAATGAACCATTGGACCCAGGATCTTTCTGTCTCTCATTCTCTTGTAAATCTGCCTTCCCAATAAAATCTGCCTTCCAAATCTTTAAGCTGCTAAGTGAAAGAACCCAGCCCCTCCCAAAAGCACACATTGTAGGATTCTGCTTGTATCAAAAGTCCAGAGAGGCCAAATCCATAGAGAGGGTAGGGGATGTAGGCCCATGGCTGTGGGTGAGTGAACAGGGACTCCGCGTGGAAATTAGTTCATCTGGGGATGGTGAAAGCTTCTCAGATTGAACTAACACTTGCACAACTCTGCCTTAAGAATTTCATGATTCTAAAAATCATGAAGCCATAGCATTCAGAGTGGACTGTATAGCATGTCAGTAATACCTCGCTAAGGCTAATAAAAATGAGAAGTGGGCAAGCATTTGCACAGCGATTAAGACCTGTCTGCATCCTGCCTCGAAGTGCTGGCCCCATTTCACATCCCACTTCCTGCTGAAGCATTCCAGGGAATCAGCAGCTGATGGCTCAAGCATCGGAGCTCCTGTCATCCAAGTGGGAGACAGAGCGGCTTGCTGACTCGCAGCTTTGGTGTGGCCCAGCTCTTGCTGCTGTCGGCATTTGGGAAGTGAAGGTAGCAACATTGGCATAACTGTATCAAGCACTAATACTTGTAAGTCACCCCCCCAAAAAAAAAAAACAGCCCTGAAACTATGTATCTAACAGCAGAGCTTTCAAGTTTAAGGCAAAGACTGAAAGAAAAAAAAAAGGACAAAGTAATCAAGTTTATTTCATGGCAGAAGATTTTAAGATTGATTTATTGTTTGAAAGGCAGAATGAGAAACAGGAATCTTCCATCCACTGATTCACTCCCCAAATGTCTACAGTGACCACAGCTGGGCCAAGCCAAAGCCAGGAGCTTCTGGTCTCCCACATGGTGCAGGGGGCCATTCCCTGCTGTTATCCCAGTCACATTAGCAGAGAACTGGACTGGAAGGCAGCTGTGCTCACCATTATATCACTAACGCTGCAGAGAACTGGATTGGAAATGGAGCCGCCAGGACTGGAACTGGCACCCCTAAGGGATGCCAGTGTTTCAGGCTTTGGTAGGAGTCTCTCCAGCGGAGTTACTGGAACGCTGCTGGTCTTTGCAAGAACATCTGCACAACCTACAGTTCTGGGGGAAGGAGGTGGGTCACTCCAAGCAGGTGCAGGTTATCCATGTCCTGTTGAGAAAAATCTCCATCTGGGCAAATGCTGGGCAGATTTCCTCACAGCCACTTAGTGAAAGGAGAACTCTGGTTTCCTCAGTTCCAGGTCTTCAGTTGTGTGTGCAGCACCTCCCTAGGTCTACTTACACAGTTCCATGGGATCCTCGAACATGACTGCCCACGAGGCCCACCAATAAGCGACAAAGAACTTTGTTTCTGACCCAGAAGTCGTGGCAGGGACCAAACTGCTGGCCTCCCAGGGTGTACATCACTAGGAAGCTGGAATTGGCGACAACTTGGCAAGATGTCAAGTTGGGTCAAATCTCAGTTCTTTGCTTTTCTGTGGGCAGCAAGGGTGAGTAGACAGTGACACTGCTACACGGGAAGAGAAATGATGACATTAGAGGGGCTGAGAATATGGTGTGGGATTGGATACTGCGAACACGCTCACCCGAGTGTCGCATGAGAAGGTCGAAATAAAAGTATGGGCCTATCCTGTTAGCACATAGATGTCCACTGAGGTCTTGTCTTTCTGTTGCTGTTGTTTTTATGGGAGGCAGAGTTAAAAAGCTTCCCCACTCATTTATTCACCAAATTTTTACAACAGCCAGGAGTTCAGAACTCAACCTGGGAGCCAGTTAACTCAAGCCATTCCTGCTGTGTGCCAGGAATGTGGAATCATTTCCGCAGGGAGCTAGAATCGGGAGCTGGAATCGGGAGCCCAGCTGGGGTGCAGGATATAGGTGTTCTGGGTGGTGTCTCAGCCACTAGGCCAGCGTCCATCTGACCTGCTGAGGGGACAGCAAGGCACTGCCTGAACAGCTCTCCTCAGTAGCTTGAGCAAGTAAGCAACGTTTCCATGATTCCACAAGTTCGGGAGGCTGCATCAGAGGGTCTCCAAAATTACCATCCAGGGCGTTAGCACTGAGATGGGATCTGGGTTTCACTGGCTTGTGCATGGGCCACTGTCAGCCACTTGCTTCGCTTCCCCAGGGCTTGGAGGTGGTGCCTCCTCCCTATGTGCCCTTGAATCTCTCCTCCCTTCTCTATCCTGATGTCAGGGAGGCCCTGCCACTTCTCTCTGGCCCCAAGGACACACGCATCACATGCCAACGAATGCATGGAGGAACTTCAAAGGAAAGAGATGGTGGTGGATGCTGGCATCCCAGCCTGGCTGATGTGGACAAAAGACAAGATGGGGGAAAGGGGCAGCTAATGTGAGCTTCTGGGTTAACTCAACGTACGAGGGCTGCCTGCACCTCTGAATACTTCACTGTCCAGATGGTGCCCAGTGGGTCACTTAGCGAAAGCTCCCTAACTGGGGTGTCCCTGTATCCATGACAGCCATGCTAACACCTTCCTGCCATGGTAACTTTCTTGGGACGTGGGCATCCAGGTAACTGCTCTGTCCTTCTGGGGCCCCATGACCAGTGACCTTTGGTTCCCCCTTGGAGACAGAGCGTGCCTCACTTGGGTATTTCTATCCGGTCCATTATACCAGCTCACCTGCAAATCCACACACTCAATGAACGAAGCCCAAGACCACGGCAATGAAAGCTCTTTATTCTCTAGATTGTATGCCAACTACAGCCTTGCCAGGGATCACTTGGTCTGCGCTAGCCCTCAAACGACAATGGCTGGCACCATCTGTTGCCCCTGCCTGTGTGCCTGAAGCCAAACTCCTGGCGTGTGGCTACCCCTGCACGATTCTACTCTGCCTGTGTCGGGCGGCTCCCAGGCACAGGCCCCATCACGCCCCTGTGCACATGCACAACCTCACACAGCCTCCGTTTTCTCTGATCAGCCAAGTCCGTGAGCGCCTCCTGACTGCGGAACAGGTCGGATCTAATGCCATGCATGGTTGCCAAAGATGCCTCGGGCACCTCACCCAAGCTTTCTTCTGTTATTGCTTAGGTCTTTGCTGTTACCTGAAAGGCAGAGCAACAGAGGAAGAGAGATCTTCTATTCTCTGGTTTGCTCCCCAAATGTAACCAGGCTGAAGTCAGGAGCCAGGAGATGACCTGGGCCTCCCACACGGGCAGCGGGACCCTAGTTCTTGAGCTGTCATCTGCCATTTCCCAGGTTGTGCATCAGCAGGGAGCTGGATTGGGACCGGACGTAGAATAGGAGCCCAGGCGCTCCAACATGGGATGCAGGTTATCTCAATCAGCAGTTTAACTTGCTGAGCCACAACACTTACCTTCCGCCCATGCATCTTGTCCAATGCAACCATGACTAAAATCCAGTTAAACAAACCCAAACTGCAAGGGGCCTGTGTTACACTCGGTCCAAAATTCTTCCTGCTGACACATTCCCAGGGAGACTGTCAGGGGAACTCAAGCACTTGGTCCCTGCCACCCACAGGGAGACCCAGGCTGGGTAACAGGGGCTTGTGGCTGATTCACTGGAGTAGTGGAAACTAAAGTATGACTGGAGTTCAAGAGAAAATCGTAGGTGGTAGGGCTGGAGCAGGTGTGTGTGTGTGGGGGGGGGGAGGCTCAGGGAGGCTGAGTGGGAGCTGGTGGGAGCCAGGCACGGCACAGGTGAGCTGGCTGGGTAGTAGCAGGTGGGCTAGCCACATGGCATTCAGACTTGCTGCATGGATACCAACAGAAACTGCATTTCTTTTGAATTCTGGAAATAAATCAAAGTCAGTTAAAGGGGGATAAAAAGGTGACACTGGTGTCTAAGCTAGGGGATGTCTCCATATTCCACCATGCTTAAGTGTAATTTTAGTTATATACAGTTTTAGAACTACTATTGTTAATATGAAATTACCAAAAAAACTACTTATACAAAGGAGAAATATACTGACTGGTAAGTTTATTGGCAAATCTATGTCAAGCTCCATAATTTAGAATTATTTAAATCAAAGTTAAAAAACATACCTTAAGAGGGTAAAACTCATTCTTTTTTTAAAAAAAATGTAGCATCACAGTTATGAAAATAGCAATTATGGCAAGTTACACATTTTTAAATTATAAAAAACACTATAAAATATCTAACAAAATATTTCTTGATGCTGCTACAGGGGAAAGTTGGGGGGCAGATATTTATTTACACGTTTACCAAAAAAGTGTCCACATTCCACTGCCAACGGTCCAACTCCTCAGGCTCTAACACCAGCTCGCCCATGGGCGACAGGGACAGACGTGACGGGGAAGGTCAGAGCAGGCTCATCTCAGACCTGCTGAGTGTTCCACAGGGCACGCCGTGCCCGCCGCCCTCGGGGCCACACAGCACATGTAGGGAATGCCAGCTCAGACCCAGTGGATGTTCCACGGGGCACGCCGTGCCCGCCGCCCTCGGGGCCACACGGCACATGCAGGGAATGCCAGCTCAGACCCAGTGGGTGTTCCACGGGGCACACCGTGCCCGCCGCCCTCGGGGCCACACAGCACATGCAGGGGACATGACATACACTTGCTGGCCCTGACCTACAACAGCTTTTAGCTGCTTTCTCACTCATAATGAAATCTATTCAGAACAGGATTTTCTCCAAATCTATAGTTAAGACATGACTTACTTTTGTAACTGAAACTCTTCTGTTTTTTTGTTAATAATTGTGTATACACTTAAATAAAGTTATGGCTTTGAAAATTACTTGTAAGGAGCTGTTTTAGATGCTACTGTTCAGTGCTGTTCGGGAAGACTAGCAGGTTCAGAGGCAAAAACTGGTATTATTAAATGCATTTTGGAATGTTAATAACATACGACATTTGCTATATTGACTCCCCTATATTTGGATTCTTTGGAAGTTTAGATATGCTGGGAAGTTTCATTTCCTGAGAAATGCCCCAAATTTCTGTTGTGTTTTGTACCCCTCTGGATGCAGCGTTCGGCTCGGTGTTGTTTCTCGAGGTGACGTTCATGCAGCACGGTGTGCAGCAGCCAGGAGGGTCACCCCACTTGATCGGGACCTCTGCAGCTCCAGTGAGCCCAGATTCGAGGGTGCTTCTCTCAGCTTCAGCAATGCTGTAAGTCATTAACTTTAGGCACCAACACCACGCCCTGGCTGTGACACATTAAGATACGGCATATGAACATGCATAGACGCAAAAAGCAACTTAGAAACATACAGTGTAAGAATATTAACATATGTATCGGGGCTCACAAAGAAGTAGGTGATTAATTATGATATGAACAAAAAGACAGTGTATTAACTCACAGTATAAACAGATTTTCAGGGGTAATTTAAATGAGCAATAAAAAAAGTTAGGTACTGTTAGTGCATATTTTGTTCTGCCCTGTATATGAAAAAATAGTTTTTTACAGCACAATTTTTGCATTTGTCTTCACTGATTTGAACAGTTGACAGAGGTAGAATCTGGTCCATGTGCATGATTTTCAGGAACAAGTACTCCAAGCGCTTTGGCGGCAGCGCGCCGAGCCGCAGACTCACCGACAGGCACCACGCTGAAACAGACGAAGAGGACCCCTTATCGATGCATTCACAGAATGGTGCCCAAAGTCAGGCCAGAACAAGCATGTGCCCCAATCCAGCGACACCTGGGCACTGGCCTTGGTGAGGGGCTCTGGGCTCCTGCCACAAACCCCACCCCATGCTGCCTTGTCATCTGCACCCTCTGCCACTCTAGCAGGCGCACTATTAGCTCAATAAAGACCTGAGGAGGGGGCAGGGCACCTTGACTACAGGAGCCAGGCAGAGTGCAGGTCAGCAGCTGGGGTGCCCGTCCACCTGCAGGATCTGACACCGTCTCAGCACTGAATGAGCTCACTGGGCCCCCAGCAGTGAGAACAGGGGACACATGACTTTTCTCACAACAAACCCGGGCGACCTGCGGTACCTTGAGGCCATCTCACAGCTACTGGCTCACTCTGAGGGCTTCCAGGATAATTTCCTAAATGTGAATGGCGACAGATTACTAGTGAACTGCCTCACTAGGACACTGAGAAAGTGGTAAAATTATCAACCGTGGATTTGGGATCGGCTGGCTGTGAAGGCTGCAGATCCACATCCTAAGATGGCTACATTCTTACAGAGGGCAGAAGACAGTGAGCATGTGCAGGGCAGGGGGCCGGGACACTGCCAGTGTGGATGCAGCCAGGCAAGCCGCTTGGCCAGCAGCACATGGCTCCTCCGAGGGCGCAGGGCTCACCCTCCTCCGAGGGCGCAGGGCTCACCCTCTGCCCCAGCAATGCTCCACGTCCAGGTGTGACCTGCAGACACGCAGCTGGGAAGCAGCAGGCCTGCGTGTCAGTGCTCATGACAGCCTGACCCAGCCCGGGGGCCTTGGCCTCTGGAGGCAGCAGCAGTGGTGTCTGCAGCCACATGGCCGAGCCGCATGAACTCAAGTGAAATCAGAGGACACAGGGGACCATGCTCCTCCAACACCCACAATAGGTGAATGCGTCGGGCCTGAGAAGGAGAGCTGGGTAGCGTTTTATGGGTCCACAATTTCTATTTTGGAGTGATTAACAAGTTTTGGAAATAGATATGGTGATGATTACGCAGCATCATGAATGCCACCAAGTTGTGCCCTACAAAAATAACTTAAGGGCCTGGACCTGAGGCATAGTGAATAAAGCTGCCACCTACTGGCCCAGCTCAAGTCCCGGCTGCGCCACTTCCCATGCAGCTCCCTGCTAATGACCTGGGAAAGCAGTGGAGAATGCCCCAGGTGCTTGGGCCCCTATACCCTGACAGCTTACTTCAGCCAGGCCTAGCTGCAGATGGCCATTTGGGGAGTGAACTACCGGAAAGATCTCTCTCTCCCTCTCTCTGCAACTCTATCAAATAAATAAGTAAATCTTAAAACAAAACAAAACAAAAAAACAAACAAGCAATTTCAAGAAAGTAGGATAGCAAAATTTTGTTATAAATATTTTCTTTATAGGCTTTCTAATTCATCACAGCGTTAGTGGATTGCTGGAGTCCACTATGCTGTGGGTCAATCTCAATTTTTTGTAAAATCTATTTTATACATTTGAAAGGCAGAGAGAGAGAGAGAGAGACAGGAATCTTGGGTCAGCTGGATCATTCTCTAGCTGGCTGCAGTCAGGGCTGGCCGGGGGAAGCTCTAGCAGTCTGGAACTCCACGTGGGTCTCCATGTGGCTGCGACGCCAAAGCACCAGGCCACCGTGTGCTGCCTCCTGGGGCACATTAGCAGAGAACGGGCTGGAGGTGGGGCAGTCAAAACTCAGGCCTACCCTCCAGGATGGGCCGTCAGTGTTTCAGCATCACATCACCCTTGGCCATGTGGGGACCCCTGGGACCCTCACAGAGAGTTAAGACAGAGCCAATTCTCACAAAATGAAGGACTCAGCTACCTTTTCACTTAGGTTTTCTCATGGCTGCACAGCTGGGTTGACCAGAGCACCCACGGTGTCAGGGTGATCCACAGGCCCAGGGAACTGGGGCAGTGCACCAGAGGGCCTGTCACTGCGTGGGAGCTGTGGACCAGATGGAAATGGGGGCGTGGCTAGACCCCAATAAAGCCCGAGTGGCAAAACCAGACCACAGGGCTCCCGTGGCCCACAGCCTCCAGTTCTCCAACCCTATACTTAGCAGCAGCTCGGAATCCCCAGGACAAAGCAGGCACCCCACTGCTCCAGAGCTAATCACATCCATCTCCCTGGCAGCTCAGCACTGCAGGAACCCCCAGGCTGCAGACAGCATGGAGACAGGGCCCTCCAAGGCAGGGGGAGATCCACATGGCAAACACAGAGGTCAGGAACCTGTCAACCTCAGGCCCACAGACCCTGGGGCGTCAGTCACACAGCGTAGGGAATCTGAGTCACGGAGGAAGTGCTAATTATCTGCTGTGCACAGTACTTTTAAGGCAAAAAATGCATCCTCCTTCGGAAAGACTGACTTCAGTACTCCCGTCCACGAGGCTGCACAGACACTATCTCCAGCCCCAGCCGGGAGCACGCTGCCTCGCCATTCAACCCCATGCCTGCTGAGTCAGCACCTGCCTCTGGACGCTGATACTGTGCAGCTCCCTTGCCAGTCTTGCCGTCTGCCTGGAGCTCTTTGTCTCAGCAGCAGTGTAAGCTGGGGGCCTTTCACATGCCAGGTTCACCCATGGGCACTGCATCACAAGACACCAAGATTGAACCACCCATGAGTATTCACAATGGCACCCACGGGTCTCCCAGGTGCCTGGGTGAGAGGAAGAAGCCAGGCAGATAAGTCCATTGATAAGATGCCCGAGGATTGGCAGAAATAATCTATGCCTTCAGTTGTCAGCACAGTGATCTTGAGAGCGTGGCACGGCCAGCGGGAGCTGAGGTTGGTAATGCCATCTATTTGGTCCAGAGGTACACAGAGCTGTAACCCTATGGCCTGGCCCTTTGCCATACATGTGTCATAATCCGCTTTCAAACACTGGTCTTCATTTCCAAGCTGCCGATCTGACGGTACTGTCCATTTTACGTGGCTGCTGGAAACACTCCCCATGTCCAACACGGCTCAAACCCAGCTGTGCCAGGCATGCACTGGAACGTCCCTTCAGCCAAGCCTCTCCTTTGCCCCCACCTGAGACAGCAGACTTTTCCACGGCTCCCCTTACAGTCAACAAGCTCTAACTTGGCCTCATCTTCTGTAGAATCTGAACATCCTACTCGATCTCCCTTGTCCTGCCCCCAGCACCTGCCTCTCCTGCCAGGCCGAGTCCGTTATGCCACACACACTCCTGTTTCTGGGCCTTCTGTCTACACTGTAGTGAGGAGTGGTCCAAAGCTTGGTAAGACCCCCGCCGTTTTGAACTTGGTGGCATTTTAAACAGCTGCTTCCCCTAGGACTTAGTTTAATTAAGTTTTGTGCCCTGTAGGTTCAAATTTTGTTGTCAGTCAACCCACTATAACCTCACAACCATGTTCTCCACCAATCTGCTGTAACTTCGCAACCCTGCTGCCACGCTGTTAACTTCAGGGCACTGTGCCTGAAGACCATACCCACGGATCCCTCACAGCCCCTCCCCACAGTGCCGGCCTAGCACCCCATCTGCCATTCCCTGCAGCCCTGCCGGTCCTACCCACCATCCCTCATGGCCCTGTGACAGCCTCCTGGGCCATGAACCGTGCGTGGCTGCTTCCTCCTTTCTCTCTCACTCTCTCTTCCTCTTCTGGAGCCCCTCCTGTCACTATGGCAGGGACCTGTCTCTCTCTTCCTGTCTCTGCCTCCTTCCTTGCAACCATCTCTTCCTGCCCCACATAAAGATATTCTGTGTGACTTGCTGCCTAACACTTTCAGTGCCCATTATTTATTGAACTGGTACTTCAACCACTGCCCTGTGACATCAGAGTCGCACAATGCTCCAATGCGGATGTTTTGTGCAACTTAGACAGGATTTACATGCATACAGTAAAATGCACGGCCTACCAACACTCAGTTCAAGAATTTTTACCAGTTCACATGCTCACCTCACCAATACAGCTCCAGAAAGGTCCCCGCAACCCCCCTCTAGGCCAATTCTCCTCCCTCGGCAGAGTACACTACCCTGAGTGCCTCAGGGCCGCTTGCGGGGGAGCCTGACGTACCTCTGGCGATCACACGTCAACGTGCTGAGGGGACTGTGGAGCAGACTTCAGAGTGGAGCTGAGCGGGGGCGTAGGAAGGCCGTGCCGACGCATCTCCTGGATCGCACGCTCTCTGCCCGGGGAGACCAGAGGAGGTTACAGGCAAGCACCAGGAAAGGCGAAACGCTGAACACGAGTCAAAGGTGCTCGCAGGGTAGCTGTCAACTAAGCCGACCTCTGTGTGATCTGCAGTTGGCACAGTGGTCACTGGGCCACTGGGGATACCCGCTGAATGCCAGTCTGAGTCCTGGCTGCGTTGTTTCCACACAAGCTTCTTGCTAATGCATTCTGGGAGGTGGCAGCAGCTGACTGCTCAAGCACTTGTGAGCCTGCCTTCCACGTGGGAACCCTGACAGGGCTCCTGGCTCCTGGCTCCGGCTGTGTCCAGCCAGGGCTGTCGCGGGGAGTGAGCCAGTGCCTGCCACATGCCTGTCTGTGTACTTACTTTTCACATAACCAAAACATGCCACGCTTGCGTATCAGCAGGTGTCATGTGACCTTGCATGACTGGTTTGTTACTTTCCTTTCTACCCTGAAGATGACCCTGCAGCTGACGTCACGCTCACGCCTGCTGTCCCAGAGCTCAGCTGGCATCCTTTTCTCCTACGCCTTTTGTGCTCACATCTCTCCCGATCTCCAGCAAACTCCCTGCTGGACACCTCACACTCCTCCACACACCTTCCCACGACCTCTCCTTCCTGATGCAGGCTCCGGCAGGTTCTGTCCTCCACTGCACCCATAAAACCAACGTCCATCCCATCCATCAGGACACGGTACCTTCACATAAGTGTGCATTCCTCTTTAGGCCAGGCTCCAACAGTCAGTTTACCCCAAGAGTCATTCAAATGGCAGTCTTGGCATGCGCACACTGCTGGCCCTCTATGCGATCAGTAACAGCCAGACTCCTGTGTGCAGACATGTCGCACACCAGCAGGCTCTTGGTAGCCTTCTGAATAGGCTGACTGATCTGCTCACAGGGAACCACTTACTTGCTGGTCTTCTGGCCTCTCAACACACACTTGCTCCTGCTGCGGGGCAGCTGAGTGATGCTCGCCTTCTCCATGCCAGCAGCCAGCTACCTGGCCTGCTGTGTAGGGGCGCCCCGCTCAGGCTCGAGGACCAGGCTGTGTGCTTCCCTCCTCTGTACCCACCCCCCAAAGCGTCCGTGCACACCAGCCTGGCACTCAGCCTTCTTCCCCAGAAGTTCCAAAGTCACAATGAGGCAACCCCGTACCAGTCTGCACCCAGCAGGGCAGTTCCACTGCTGTCTCCACTGTGGGCTAGCAGCCTCAGCTCTCCAGTTCTTCAGTATCCAGGAATGCCACCTCGTTTGGTATTTCTCAAACTTTTCTTCATATTTATTCTCCCAAAGCAGCTTTCTAAGAGTTTTCTCCCCACACCATGAAGTTTTAATGCAGATAGACTGCTAGGTCATGCGGCCATTTGGATGCCTGCAGCCATTGCAGTCTGTAATGCTTGTGCCACCACCACATCCTCCCTGCTCTGCCACCTGCAGAAACCAACTTCTGTGCTATGAGAATGTGGCAGCTTAGCAGGACAGCAAAGGACAAGCAGACATGGTCAGACATGGCTGGGTGGTTCACGTTTCTTTGAAGGGGACAGGAAAAGGGAGAGTTAAGGCAGGGTTAGGGTCTGAGACTCCAGGCTATGAGCTGGACTGAGGAGCCCTGGGCTGCAAAGAAGCTAAGCATCAATGAGAAACAGAGATCGCTACGTACATAACATGCTCAGGGGACAGACCCAACAACTCAAGCCAACACTGTGTCTGTCACTGCCACACTCTACAAGCATCAATCTTTCTTAAAAGGCTTAGGGTGCCTGCGTGTATTCTGTGTGTGTGTGTGTGTGTGTGTGTGAGTGGGGCAGGGGAGGGAGCAGCAGTGACCGAGCGCGAGACCAAGAGTAGTAAGAGAGTGAGCGGGCAAGAGAGATTTGTTGTCCACGCCATGAACGGCCCTGACGGCCGCAGCTGGGGCAGGCTGGAAGCGGAGCCAGAACTGCACACTAGTCTCCCACGTGTGTGCAGGGACCACGTGTCTGGGCCATCTCCTGCCTTCCCAGGCACATTAGCAGACAGGTAGATCAGAGACGGAGCTGCAGGGACTCGACCCGGCGCTCTAACAAGGCATGCTGGGAATGCAAGCGGCCTAACCTGCTGACCCACGCCAACCCATGAAATCATAAATACTGTTTTTGTTGCAAATTCCCCTTATAATTTAAACAGCACATCACTCAAATGTCTTGATGTAAATGGATGCAAATAGAGAATTAGAAAAACTGGCCTATAAGTAATTTGAAAAACTACTGGAAAATAAAATCTCAGGGATGTTGATGTGTATGATATAGTATGGTATGGTACAGCATGAAAATGTTTCAAAAGAAAAGCAACTGGGTAACTGACTTTCCAATCAGACTATGACTTTAATTCCAGAAACACTGCCACACACTGGCCTGCAGCATGCGCCAGAGTCCTAGGGTGTAAGCAATACATGTAGACGCTGAGACCCACAGCCGTGTGGCCGACCCCAGGCACGGCTCTGCCGTACCCCGTGTGTGTGACCTCAGCTCACACCGACTCACAGCTGTGTGGCCGACCCCAGGCACAGCTCTGCCGTACCCCGTGTGTGTGACCTCAGCTCACACCGACTCACAGCCGTGTGGCCGACCCCAGGCCCACTACTCCGTGATGATAGCCTCATTTTGCTCTGTGGCATGCAACAGGAAGCAACACAATCCTTGCTACTTGATTTTCTGAAGAGATGCAATCTTCAACAATTATTTGGTGGCTTTCTAGGAATAGCTACCAAGGAAACTTAGCACAGTATGTGGCCGGGCCTCTGCTCTTTGTAGGCCATATTAAGCCGTCTCTGGAGCAGCAGGCTATGAAAACACCTGCACAGTGCTACATGTTTTTTCTTACCGTTCATATTTTTCTGCTGAAATCTGCCTTTTCAGAGCATCATGGTCTGTTTCTAATTGCGTCACTTTGGCTCGAAGCATGGCGTTTTCCCGGCTTTGACTAGTTCTTAAAACAAATGGAAAAATTAAAGGAGTAAGAAACGTTGCTTTCCAAGGTCAAGAATTGTGAGTTTTACATAAAAAAAATAAAAATGGAAATGATGGCTAATAGGAAAAGAAATGACTGCAGCTTTTCAACAACACAGTGTGCTATCCGTGCTGGGGACACCTGCGGGCCGCACCGACAAGGCGCTAGCACGCTCAGAGTTTCCCTCTGACTCCGTCCTCAGAGGAAGCGACCACAAGACCTTGTAAAAAAGCTCCTGCTTTACTCCTCCCCTCCTCCCTTCCAACCAATTGGACCAGACCTCCCCAGCCCGCCCGGGGTGACCTCTCCACTGGGGAAGGACACCCTCCCTTGCCCACTCTGCCCGGGGAACTGGTCCACCGCACAGATCAGGTCTCCGGGCCCTCTCAGTCCTCCTAACGCTAGCCAAGTACACGGCCTCCTGATCCTTTCCTTCACCAACTCCTCAGCCAAACCACAGACCCAAGTTCATTCCCAGAGGTTACTCTTCCCGTTTGCTCCACGGTACACCTCACAGCCCCCACCTCTGAACACATTAGTCCATGTGCACCGAGCCAAATGTGGGGGCTTGTAAGACCCCTTATGCTCTCACTGCCCCGGCCCGCCCCACTCATACTAGAAAATTATTTCTGACAAGCTTTGTTGCCTAAACAGGTTGACACTTATGGACACTTACGATTTGCTTTCTGAAAGGGTTAACTTCTCTTTAAGGAGTTGAATCTCTGTATCCTTCTCGTGGGAGGTTAAATGAGAATGAAATTCTTTATCTCTATTTGAAGCCAATAACGCTTCGAGGTTTTTAATCGTGAGTCTTTCATTTAACAGCTGTTTCTTTAACATCTCAGACTCTGATTTTACATTTTCTAACTCTGCCACAGCCTACATGAAAAACAGAGTAAGAGTATTTCAGTTCAATTTTGGATGGGTTGGGAAAAGTCATGTTTGTGATAACATAGCTCTTCAGGGTATTCACTCATCAGCTTCATTCTGGGCACCAGTGAGACTTTTAAAACAAAGTCCTTCTCTACGAACAAATCTTTGATGTTTATCATGAGCTGATTTGATGCTACAAGCCACGCACCCTCTCAACAGTTCACATTCCTGTGACCCTGCCAGGAAACGCCCTCGGCGCAGGCACAGCGGCACAGCCAGCTGGTCTTCCCTGCACAGCACCAGCACCAACATCTTGTATGCATGCCAATTTCAGTCCCGGCTGCTCCACCTCGACCCAGCTCCCTGCCCGCAGCCTGGGAAAGCGGGGAAGGATGGCCCAAGGCACCCACGTTGGAGATAGGGAAGAAACTCCTGGCTCCCCGCTTGGGATCAGCCAGCTATGATCACTGTGACCATTTCTGGAGTTAACCACTTCAATTAAAAGAAATAAGTTTTCCAAAAAATTTTTTTAGAAAAAAGAAAGCAAGCAAGCAAACACCCACCCCCAACCCTCAAAGCGCCAGCCCTCTCCCTGGCCCACTAAGCGTGCTTACTCTGTCCCTCTATCAAGCCAGCAGCACAGCTACTCAGCGCCTGAAAACATTCAGTAGAAGAGTGAACTGAGCATGGTAGAAACACACCAGGCAGCCGACAGGAATGCTGCAGTTTGGAATAATAAGTTCTGGCTATGTAGACTGAGTTCAGCAAGATGAAGAATACTGCACTGAAGCAGCATTGGACAGTTGAGTCTTACTTTTAAATTTAAGAAAACAAAGATGTGCACCTACTCTAGTTAGAAACGATACTCTCGGGCAGGTCTTTAGTGCAGTGTGGGTAAGACACAGCTACTGCGAATGCTGGCATCCCTCGTCAGCGTGCCTGCACGCAGGGCCAGCTCCTGACTGTAGGGTCTGCGGGCCCCTGGCACTGCCCGCATAGCCTCCTGAATCGAGTCCCTGGCCCAGGCCCGGTCACTATAGGTACTTGGGGGAATGAGCTAGCAGAGCCAGCTAGTGAGCTGGTGTATAGATAGTTTTTTGCTTTCTTATAAGTAAAATGAAAAAAAAATAATAATCTTCTAAATAATCATTTATTTTTAAAAGAGAGCATCTAATTTCATTATGCTATTGGCCAGAAAAATCTTGATAAAGAATGTAGTAGTCAAATGTAATTGTCAAGATCTTATAGTCAAAACAAAACTCTTTGGGACATGAACAATAAAGCCTCTCCTTCCAACATCAACATCCCACGTGGGTACCAGTTCGTGTCCTGCCAACACTGGCATGCTGTATGGGTACCAGCTCACGTCCAGACTATCCCACTTCTAATCCAGCTCCCTGCTAATGACCTGGGAAAAGCAGCAAAAAATGATCCAATTGCCTGGGCCCCTGCCACCCATGAGAGACACTGTGACAGCTTCAGCCTGACCCAGCGCTGGCTGTGCAGCCACGTGAAAAGTGAGCCAACAGGTGGAAGATCTCTGTCTTCCCCCTCTAATTGGACTTTCTAAACAAACAAACAAACAAACAAACAAACAAACAAACTACACCAGGGGAAGCCTTTGGCCTGAAGGGACAGAGTGCTGGGTCCGAGCGGCAGTCCCACTTCCTGCTAGCATGCACCACTGGAGGCAGCAGGCGCTTCGGTGGCTGGATTCCTGACCCCCACATGGCAGACCTTGATGAAGTTCCAGTTCTTGGCCTCTGCTTGACCCACCTCTGGCTATGGAGATATTTGGTGGAGGGAAAATACGTTTCTCAAATAAATAATAATAATAAAAATTACTCTAAAAGGGAACAAAAATATGGAGTAGTCAATGATAAAGTGAAAGCAGCAGGGCTCAAGTCAACAGGCCAGGACAACTTCCCAGTTCTCACCCTCTCATACTCGAGGCTCTTGGAGTTCAGCTGCTGGGTGGTGACGTCTTTGCCCGAGTCCAGCTTGATGCAGAGCTCTCGGAGGGAGGACAGGTCGCCCAGCACCGCGGCCTTCTCGTCCTCCCGCAGCCTCAGCTCCTCTTCCAGTCTGGACATGGCTTTTGCCATCGACGAGATCTGGGACTCGTAGGCGTGATGTGCACTGATGTGCTGCGGGAAGAAAGACACAAAGCTAAAAGCGAACTGATCATTTGCAAACGCAGATCTGTCAGCTAAGCTTACTCTAAAAGGACATGAAGTCAATTTTCAAGATTTAAATACCTCAGTTGCTTATTTACAGCTGGCATGTTTAGTGCTGAACAAAAAGAACTGTGTGCAGTTATTCATCACGGCAATTAAGTATACCTCACGCACACAGTGCAAGACATAATGATGAAAATTAGTGTCGGGGTGCTGTGAATATGTGAGCTTTTGTCTCCTTAACGGACTAGGCATTCGGTGGCTGATCAGCATGCCTGTGGCTCACGGCAGGAGCCTGGTGGAAGTTCCCAGCTCTGGCCCTGATGCCAGCTTCCTGGAAATGAAAGTCAGGAAGCCGGGAGGGCAGGCAGTAGTAGCACTTGGGTGGCTGGGTTCCTGCAGCCCCCATGGGAGACGTGGACTGGGCTCCTTGGCTGCTGCGGGCCTGAGCTCTATCATTTCCTGGCTCGCAAATGGACAAGCAAATACACTGTAAGAATTGTCTTCTTTATGTTGCCACTTCAACAAAAAATAACTTACACATTTACTACATTTCAATTAATGGTAGTCAAATTCTAAATTTCACAAACGAGGTTCAATTTAAAACTAAATATCTGAGGTAATATATAAACTTAGCTTAGTAATAACTTCTAGTAACTGTGAAATTATGAGAAAACTCAGCAGGGAGCTGGCTCAGAAGTGGAACACCTGGGAATCAAACTGGCATCCCCTGGGATCCCAGCATCGCACAGCCCAATACTGGCATATTTTTCAATACTTAACAGCTGGAAACAAGCCAGGCAAGAAAAACGGACTGGGGCCAGTGATGTGCAGAGGATTCTAGCAGCTGTCTGCAATGCTGGCAAAACCACAGGGCAGTGGTTCAAGGCCCAGTTGCTCCATTTCCTGTCCAGCTCCATGCTAATGGACCTGAGAAATGGCAGAAGATGGTGAACACTGCGGGCCCTGCCAGTCATGTGGAAGAGTCAGGCTGGGGCCCGGTGCGGTGGCGCAAGTGGTTGAGGTCCTCGCCTTGCACGCCCGGGATCCCATATGAGCGCCGGTTCTATCCCCGCAGCCCTGCTTCCCATCCAGCTCCCTGCCTGTGGCCCGGGAAAGCAGTGGAGGACGGCCCAAGGCTTTGGGACCCTGCACCCGTGTGGGAGACCTGAAAGAGGCTCCGGGCTTCCGATCAGCATAGCATCGGCCATTGCGGTCACTTGGGGAGTGAATCATCCGATAGAAGATCTTCCTCTCTGTCTCTCCTCTCTGTATATCCGCCTTTCCAATAAAAAAATAATAAAAATAAATCTTTAAAAAAAAAATAGTCAGGCTGAGCTCCAGGCTGCTGGCCAAGCCCTGACCGCTTTAGCCACTTACGACTGAACCGGTGCAAGGAAGATCTCCGTGTCTCCCTCTGTCTGTCCCTCTCTCTTTAACTCTGCCTTTCAAATAATAACCCAACCGTGAAGTAAAATGTGGCATTTCAGCACAGTGGCTATCACTCAGGTGGAGACACACGCTGCCGTCTGAGCCTCGGAGAGGACCCGCGGAAAGAAACTCCAGCGTTGCAGGGACCGAGCAGTCAAACTCAGGGCGCCTGTGCGAGCGCGGCACTTGCCAGTGCCCCAGGCCGGGGACAACAAAGCCACAGTCAAGAAAGTCAAGCACTGAGGACTGACAAAAATGACAGGCAAAGTACGAGAGCTGCACACGTTATAAGGCAGACCTGACGTCACACGCCTGTACCCCAGTGAAATGGGTACTGAGGCTCCTAGGCCGAAGGTCAGAGTCAGGACACAAAGTGCCCATGGGTGCTGTGACTCACTGCAGTGCTATCCGTCCACGCCACAAGGTCCTGATGGTGCACAGGCACGCATTACCTCCTGGATCTCCTTCTCCAGCAGCTCCACTCTTTCTCGAAGGTGTCTCCTCTCCGTGTCAATAGACAGCAGCTCCAGCCGAACAGAACTGCTCACTCCCTCTGCCTGGTGGGCTTTCACCTCCCAGTCCTCAGCCCGGTTATGAAGCATCTGGAATTTGTCTAACAGGTCTTGGTTTTCTTTTTCCTAGTTGACACATAAATTATTTCTAAGTCAGTACGTGTCACTAGCTGGGACACTTGCTAGACATCCCATCTCCTGTGGAGGATTAGGCACCCCCACAGGCCTGATTCTACCACTTCCCCGGCCCTGGTTACTGATGTGGTGAGGCTGCTGGAGTGGCCCTCTCCCTTCCGTCCCGCTCACCCCCAGATACAGGAGGAAAAAAAGAATTTGAGAAAAACAGTCTCACCCACTTTCCCCCTGCCTCAGCCCTCCCCACACTAATCAGTGGTCCACACGGGCATACATCCTTCTCAACTATGTAAAAATCCAAACTAAAATAAATTCACTATTAAAACATGGGTCATGAATCTAACGAAATAGCAGTTTTCACCTTAGAAGCCATCAGGCTCTCCCATCGAGATACTTCAGTTATATAATTATGAACTCTATTCTTCATTTCTTCTTTTTCTTGCACTGATGCTTCCAGTTCCAATGAGATTTCCTATAAAAGAGAAATTACAACAAACCTAAAATGATGACAGTGCCACATGAGCTGTTTCTATTCAAATGGTTTCTTTATTAGAGATTGTTAGTTTCTTAGAATTGTATCTATGAAATACATGAAATCTATTATCTTTATAGGAATAAAAATTTAAACAATTTGAAATTATCAGAAGGGTGTTAAAATAGAGACATGGAAAAAAAGAAAATTATTCTTACGTGCTACTTTTGTATATTTCTCCTGGCTGATACTGATGTGGGTTTGTTTTTCTATTTATTTATTTATTTAATTTGAGACAAAGAGCTAGAAGGAAAGGCAGGCAGAACTGCCACTCACTGGCTCACAAAGGCTGGAGCTGCTGAATTTAGGATCTGGCTTAGCCCAAATGAGCCATCCAGGACCCTACTGCATCTCAGGGTCTGTCCTGGTGAGAGGCCATGGTCAGCAGCTGGAACCAGAAATTGAACCTACACTTCTGAAAGGGCTTGTGGATATTTTAAACCATATCTTAGCCCATCAAGGCCAAACTCAGGCTCCTGATGTGGACTTGCTGATCCACCTACAATGCCCCACAACAGAGGTGACCATGTCTATCTGCCCTTCCTACAGAGGGCTAGTTATGGCCATGAGCTGACACTGGAAAACAATATATCAACAACATGAAACCTTCAAAATACAAATAAAGTATTTAAAACAGGACAGTCATTGGTCTTCCTGGTACAGCCTTTAATAAATCAGCACAAACAAATCAACATGTTTGAGTATGTGCATTTCAACGCACTCCTTAATTTCTCTGCAAGTGTGATCTCGAAGCCAATGGAAGTCAACACAAACAATTCACATGATCCTGAGTCTCTGAAGCAGAAGCTCTGCCGTGGCCATCATGCCGAGGTCTCCCCCAGGAGGACGGTCAACTCAGCCACCGGCCTCTAGCTCTAGGTCCCTGCAACAAGCAGCCAAAGGAGAGATGACCGTCGCAGCCGCTGGACACCCTGGGACCTAAAGTGCTGTTCCAAATGACATTTCTTAACACCCCGTTGCTAGACATAACACTCTAAAGAATTAGCTACGTTGCCTGGATATTAACTCATCAAACTTGAGAAAACAATATGTGAACCTGAGCATTTAGCCAACACTGACTAGCAATCCTACAAGTACCACAGGCCACTGTGCCCTCTTCACACCTGGTTCTCTCTTGCCATTGTCGCCAGGTCATCCTGCAACCTTCTGTTTTCCTTAAAAGCCATGTCTCTGGATCTTCCAACTTCATCAAGTTCCTTATGGGCCTCGTCCAGCTGGCGCCGGAGGCTGCTGACCTCCCGGTCCCGGGTACTCAAGGTTTCCTTTAGCTGGCTGGTGAATGAGGCAAGTGGAAATGAGAAAGACACATTTTGGAAAGTTACAGTTTACTCAAGGAAAACTTTTAATCTGAACTGAGTATGCTAATCAAACAAGAAATTAAGACCGTTGCATTGATATTGATTAGTTAGCTAAAGCAGGTATTTTCTATCTCTATCAGTGCTTTATGTGAATACAGTCATAAAATGAATGCATTATTCCAAAAGCTAGTCACATGAAGCTTCCGCGTGTTAAGAGCAAAGCACGTAGGGACCAGAAGTATGGCACAGTGCCTTAAGCCACTGCCTGCAGTGTCAGCATCTTGTACGGGCGTTACTGGAGTCCCAGACGCTCACTTCCAACACATCTTCTCATGACTGTGCCTGGAAAGGCAGAAGATGGCTGATACATCCGTGTGGAAGGCTGGGATGGAGTTCCAGGATCCTGGCTTCTGCCTGGCACGGGCATAACCACTGCAGTCATTTGGGGAATGAACCACAATACGGGGGGCTGTGTGTGTGTGTACGTTTCATTCCTCTAATTCTGAAGCCTTTCAAACAAATAAATCTTTTTTAAGTAAACTGTACAGACATAATTGGCAAATGCTCAATGAATCTTTACATCCTCAGCATTTTACAAAACACAAAATGTGTCATAAAGTGGCTTAGAGTCATATAAGATGTGATATTTCCTAACAGTTATCTTGACAGGTTCAGAGGAAAAACAAATTCATGCCTGGCTGTAAATGTTATTTAAATTTTAATGATTAGGACTCAAACAGGGTAATCATATACAAACCAAGAGCAGGTAGGTAGGGAAGGGAAAGAGCTGGTAAGGACAAGGTGTTAGATCTGGGGGCAGAAGAGAGGAGGAAGCGAAGCAGGGGACCATTTTTCAAGCAAGAGATTTGAGAAGATGCTGCTGTCATTGGGGGAAAAAAAAGAAAATTTGAGAAAAGAATTTTCTTATTGCTGGTTCTAAACACATTAAGCTATAGTCACTGAAAATTTCTAGAAAACCAGAATGCCATCTCATTACTTACTTCATAGATTTATCAAACTCTGAGACAGTTATCTTCATCTGTGCAATAGCTTTTTCCTATAGAAATTATAAAAATACATGAGATTCTAAGCCATCCTGATAAAAATGTCCTCAGCTAAGTTGATGAGCTCTGTCCCATGCACATAGTTCAACTGCACAAAATCTGGCAGAGAGCAGCCTGCACCCGCACAGTGGTCCACATGCCACGTAATCCACGTGTCGACATGTCCCCACCCACCCAAAACCCAGCACAGCTTCCTGGAGCTTCACCAGCTCTGACAAAACCACATTCTGGAAACAAAAACCACATTTTGCAGATTCAAATTATTGGGATGGAATCGAATTTATTGGAAGACGTGGCTCTTCGCCTAAAGAACTTGAGCACAGATGGTAAGGACCACCTATTTGAAACAGAATAAAATAATCTTTTCTGCTCAGATGCTGGAAAATCATACGCAACAGTAACATACTTTGCTCGCTAGGTTTTCTTGCAATTTCGCCATCTTTTCCGTCTTTTCGTCTACAGTCTCCTGAAGAAAATCCTTTTCTTTATCAATGACACCAATGGTCTTTTTCATTACATGGGCCTCCTCATCCTGCGAACTGATCTTAAGGTTTAGTTTATCTGTAAAGGGAAAGAAATGCCTGTCAGACAAAATACGCAAGTACTGGCAGACACAGAAACTACAGACACTCACCTATCTTTTCCTCCAGTGTTTTAATGTGTGCCTGGGCTGAGTCCAGTTCACCTCTTTTGATGGCGAGTCGGTGCTGATAGTCATCAAGTGACCGCTCTAGCTGCTCATTTACTATCCTAAAGGATCAGTGGACAAAAACAAATGGCACTCTTTATCTCTCAGAAAAACAACTCTTAAAAATGAGACGTCTTAAAAAGTGATTTCTTATTTTTAAGGTTTCTTTTATTTTTTATTTTAAAGCTCTTCCAGTTTAATCAATGGCAGTATATTACAGATTAAAATCTCTTGGTCTCCACCATTCTTCTCCAAAATGGTTCCATTTTCCTAAAAATAACATGGTATAAAAATCAAATTAATTGTGTACTCTCTTCTAGAGGCTTCCTGGTAGTTTCCCACTCTTGTTGCCCACTAGCCACTTCCTCTCCCTGCAGTCCCACTTCCAAAAGCAGAGCGCAGTCGTGCTTTCAGGACGGCCTGGCGCGTGCCAGCACGGTCTGTACTCAGACTGCTCTCCACCCTGCTTCTAACTCTGACTCTCCGGGAGGAGTAGGCTGGCAGCCACAGGATGCAGGGCAGAGGAGGCACTTCCCACAGGGCAGCAGGGACTGAAGCAGGTGAAGGGATGCACAAAGGCCCAGGTCAGCCCAGTGACATGCCTCCGAGCCATCGGCTACTGAACAGGAAGCTGGTTTTCAGAAACTCCACCCCAGCACGGAAGCTCCAATAGCATCCACCTGCTCTCCTGTAATTGAGTCCAGTCTACAGAATGTGGCTCAGCCCCGACCCTAGAATGCTTAATCCTTGCCTTCCAGAAAGACATGGCTCTCCCGTTAGGTGTTTTAACTGCTATAGGCTCCTGGGCTTCCTTAGAGCGGAAGACAAGTGGAAAGAACTAACAAGTGGGAAGGAAAGCTGAATTTCCAAATCATTAGAAGATGGGAGTGAGTCTACAGAAATGATGATTTACTAGCATTATGGAGGTATTCTGAAATACAAAATACACGTGCTTGAGTATTCTAAATAACAAGTGAATGATGACAAGAGAGAGGGAGCAACCAGGCTGTAGGACTGACCACTTTGAAAATGCACGCTCAACTCAGAAAGACAGCACATTCAAGCCATTTTAGTTACAAAATGATCTCTGAGGTCCAGGGAACTGCACTCCAGAGTTAAGTGACTCCTCAAATCTAGAGCGTTTCCTGGGCGATGTGACAGCAACTGGTGCTCTGTGGACATCAGACCATCCGGCCCATCACTAGGGCTGCTATCCCAATTTTACAGAAACAAACAATTCACCCAACCTCACGCATTAGTGAAGGCCAAGGAAACAGGCCAGGCTAGATGGGGAACCAACATAACCAAGCGACAGGGAAACTGTCAGGGAGCTACATGGAACCCTAAAATGGAACAGTCCAGGACACTGGGTATGGCAGAGCTGGTAGTTCCTGGCAAAAGTGTAAAGACCTCTTGACACTCAACTTCATAAGCAGAAGCACCTCTTAAGGAAATGGGGCTGACAATCAGAGACAGGCTACATTCTGACACATGATGATGTTTAATGAAGTCCATAATTTATGCTGGTGCAACTTTTGTGGGAGGGAAGGAACTGCCTATCATTCAACTATAACTTGGCTTTCTGTGCAGAAATGTAATTCATGAAGTCCTAAGTTGGCGGCATTAGGAGGGTGGAGCTTTGATCCAGTTCTAGTGTTGGGGAGGTGGGCCCAGATGCGGTCCTTAGGTCCCGGGTGATCTCTGCTTCTCCCCAGCGTCCTCACACAGCTGAGCCTATGGGGCCCTCCCAAACTGGGACTATGTCCCTCCAAAACTAGGACAAAATAAAATCTCTTTCCTTTGTAAGTAGCTTTTCTTGGGTATTGTTTATAGTGACAAAAAAACAATACATAAAGCTATGCACAGTTTTTGCATATAAGTATTTTGAGAGCTTTCTGAAGACTCTTCAGACATACAAAGGAAATTCTTAGTTGAGTCCTAAAGAGCTTTGACTTTTTACAGCCAAGTGCAGAGATACAGAGACAACTGAGTCTGTAGACCAGCCCCAAAGTAACATTTCTGACTCAAATATTGCTGGTAGGACAAAGGCCCATCCAATGTAAAAAGTGAGGTTTAAAGCACAGCAGGCAAAAGAGCCGAGTGACTGCTCTGCTATTTGTGAATAATGGTGTTTGTACACAAGATCTGAAAACTAAGTTAGGAAAACGAGGACTGTTTCCTCAGCTTTGAAGTTGCTATCCACCAAACAAAGCAATGATAGATTCTCCCAGAGAAACAGTCAAGGGAACAGGGTCAAGCTTCCCACTTGAGACAGGTGTCTGTGCAGCTCTGACTCTGAGCCTCCATCTGCCCAACCACACTATGCAGTGATACACTCCCTTATGTTGGGGACCAAAAGTCATTCTCTTCCTTCATGATAAGAGCATAATTTACAGAAAATATAGCATTTCCAAAACTGCAAAAACTGTGTCACAATTCTAAAATGGTACTGAAGTACTGTGTAAGAGAGGTAGGGCTGGAATGTCAGTGGGTTGTTCAAAGCAAAAGAAACTCGGGGTCCCCGCCATATGATCGCCGGTTCGTGTCCCTGCTGCTCTACTTCCCATCCAGCTCCCTCTTTGTGGCCTGACAAAGCAGAAGAGGGTAGTTCAAGTGCTTGGGCCCCTGCACCCATGTAGGAGAGCCAGAAAAAGCTCCTGGCTTTAGATAGGCCCAGCTCTGCCCATTACAGAGGACAAAAGCCCTCTCTCTTCTCTCTTCACCTATGCTTCCAAATTTAAAAAAAAAGAGAGAGTGAGAGAGAGAGACCAACATGGAGTCCCTGTCTTCGAATTTCTCCCAAGTCTATGGTTGTGATCCTTTGGTGTAATGGAGAGTGGAGAACAAATAGGATACTTTTTTCTGTTTTAAATGTTGGTGTCTGCAGAGGGATGACGACTTAACTGGTGGCCCGGACCCTGTGTCCTGACTGCAGCGCCATGGAGACCCCCGTTACCATCAGCCACAGCTCTGGTTCCTTTTCTTCTCTTAGTAGGGAAAAAAGTAAAGAATTCCCCTAAGACAGTTTTCAGGTGCTGTGGGTAAGCTGAAACAATTCTCAATTGCTTTAACAATTAAGAAGTCTCGGGCGTGGCAGCGTGGCCTGGCGGCTAAAATCCTTGCCTTGAATGCCCCGGGATCCCATATGGGCGCCGGTTCTAATCCCAGCAGCTCCACTTCCCATCCAGCTCCTTGCTTGTGGCCTGGGAAAGCAGTCGAGGATGGCCCAAAGCTTTGGGACTCTGCACCTGTGTGGGATACCCGGAAGAAGTTCCTGGATCCTGGCTTCGGATTGGCATAGCATCGGCCGTTGCAGTCACTTGGGGAGTGAACCACTGGACAAAAGATCTTCCTCTCTGTCTCTCCTTCTCTCTGTATATTTGACTTTCCAATAAATAAATAAATCTTAAAAAAAACAAACAAACAAGTAGTCTCCTGCAGGATGAAGTCGCAGTTGGTTTTCTGAATCTGTGTAAACAAATCCTAGGAATACGACGGCTACGTATTAGCATAACTAACTGCAGCTGGAGTTCAAGGGTCATTTCCAGGAAAAATGTCTACCGCATCTCCTAGACCCTGAATTAGTCTGTAACCATTTGGTTCTGAACAAGAGAAACGACTGAGGTAAGCTGAGCATTAGTCTGTAACCATTTGGTTCTGAACAACAGAGAAACGACTGAGGTAAGCTGAGAAGGGTCTGACAGAACCTCGCTTTCACTTTCACAACAGCGTGTCAGGACACGGCACGTCTGCCCGGGGACTGCGAGTGGTTAAGCTTCTGACTGGACTGCAAACAACCCACCTTGAGTTGGGGTTGCCAAAGTGTGGCCTGCCGCCTGATTCCGTGCTAGAATGCCTTAGGCATGCTTTCTACAACACTAAGCCTCATGTCAGTGTGTGAACAAAATTTTTAAGTTATTTGTGATACATGGAAATTAAGTGAAATTCAAATTTCAATGTGCACCAAAAAAGAGATGCATAGAACACCAATACGCTCTTTCCTTTAAGCACTGTCTCCAGCTGTACCCAAGCCACAAGGGTGGAGCTGAGCAGGTGCGACAGCGACAGTATGGCCCACATACTGACTCTATTCACAGACAAGGGCTGCTAACCTGGCTCTGGTGATGGTCTCTGGCGGCAGAGAGAAGTCCCCTCACAGTGCTGCGGAGGACAGACTTGGGGCATAAGACGCCAGGCATCTTTAAATGGAGACAACAGCCTGTACTTGACAGACAAAAGCCATGTGATGGCTCTGCAGTGTGGTGGGGATGCCAGACGCAGGAAGGGAAAGAGAAGATGCTGTGTGCCTGAGATCCGGGTTCTCAGAGTTCCTGTCACAGAAGCAGGGCGTGAAGTGATGAAAGGAACAGCAGCAGCTCTGTTAACTCCAAGGAAAGCACCAGAACGTTTGGACCACGCGCCTTTGCTTCCAGAATGTGGTTATGATGGGTACAGGACTTAGTCTTGGATCTGTACAAAATGGCTGTCACTGCATCCTAACCAGGTTCACTTCAGTGGAGGATATGACCGACATGCTTTCCAGAGAGAATGTTAGGAAAGAGGCGGGAAGCTGGGCTGAGGGGGAAAGGATGCTGATCCGAGAAAGAACACCCAAGACACTGTCGTCTGGAATACCTAAACACTGCAGACCTTCCTGTGAGGAGGCGAGAGAGGGTGGAGGCTGGCATCTGAGGAAACGCCAACGGGACTGAACACACAAGGTGCCACAAGGTGACCAGCGTGCTGAGGCAGGTGTACTCCCCCGGCTCGCCTGCAGGGGCGCAGTGGTGCTGGCTGATGCCATCTTCCCAAGACCAGATGGGCCATCCTGGAGGAGCACTCGCCCTGCAGGAGCACTCGTCTGGCACTCCTGACCTGACCACACACACCCACTTCTTGGACTTAACTTAGGCTGGCTGATCATCCGGGAACCCTACAGACTACAGTTGCAGCTCTCCCTTTTTCTAATTATTCATGAGGTTCTCACTTTTGCTCTGTTTGCTATATACTTTTATGGTTCTTGGTTTTTGTATATTCAACCTCCCTTTTTGCCCTTCCGAGTTCTGGGTGAAACTCCTGACTTTACTTCAGATTTTACCAACTCAGTTTTCTGCAGCTGCCAATCTATAGGTGGCTAACCTTTCAGTTTTTTTTTTTTTAAAGATTTATTTATTTTTATTGCAAAGTCAAATATACAGAGAGGAGAGACAGAGAGAAAGATCTTCCATCTGATGATTCACTCCCCAAGTGACTGCAACAGCCGGTGCTGCGCTAATCCAAAGCCAGGAGCCAGGAGCTCTTCCAGGTCTCCCATGCAGGTGCAGGGTCCCAAGGGTTTGGGTCATCCTCCACTGCTTTCCCAGGCCACAAACAGGCAGCTGGATGGGAAACGGGACCACTGGAATTAGAACCAGAGCCCATATGGGATCCTGGTGCGTTCCAGGAGAGGAGTTTAGTCACTAGGCCACCGCGCTGGGCCCAACCCTTCAGTTTTAATGTGTCCATATCCTTTCTGATCTGTTCACTACTTCATGGCTGTCGCCAGGGTCACTGTGACATCCGACAAGCTGTTTCTGGTATTTATTACCAAGCTAGTCTAGAGAGCTGCTTCCTGCGGCTTCAGAATGACACCCCGTGTCTGGTTTTGTAATCATGCATGAATTCAGCCCGGAAAACACCTAACTTTGTCAGCTGTTTCCTTAAGTCTTCCTTTAGTTGCTGCCCAACAACCCCGAATCCGAAGGCGAGCACTCTGCCTTATTACATCTCAGTCATCTCCGTTTAAGTGACTCGAGCCTTATTTTATGTAAACCAGTTTCTTAAATCTAGTTACATTCAAACTATTTGCCATCAGTCTGAGACTTGAAGGCTATACTTCATGTTTCTGCCGGTGTTGGCATCCCAAGAGGCCTGCTTCCTGTACACCCTCCTTGGAGCAGAGGCCTGTTCCTGGGCAACTGTGTAACAGCTCCTGGTGCAGGCAGCTCAGTAACTGCAGCTTGGCATCCCACACCCCGTCCTGCTGTGCCTGCCTGGAGTCCAGTTACTTCATTTTGAACCCAGCTTCCTCCTGGTGTCTACCAGGGACGATGGCTCAGTATGTGAGTCCCTGCCACCTCTGAGAGACCCACACTGAATCCTAGCTTCCAGCTTCAGCCTGGTCTAGGCCTGACTGCCGTGGGAATTTAGGGTATAAACCAACAAATGAAGGTTCCCCCACTACCTATCTCTCTTTTTCCCTCTGAGTTTCTAATAAAAGAAAAATTTTCAGAAGTAATTTAAAAATTGTTTTTACAGCAGATTAAAAAGGAGACAGGGACCAGCATGACTGCATTAAAGCCAGGTAGGATGCTCCGGAGTCGGCTCCATGCTAACGGCTTGGGAAAGCAGTGGAAGACGGCCCAAGCACCAGGGCCCTGTCGTTCACATGGGAGACCAGGATGAAGCACCCAGATTCAGCCTTGCCCAGCCCTGGCCGCTGTGGCAGCTTGGGACATGAACCACAGCAATGCAAGATCTCTTTCTCCTCTTCCTGTCTCAGCCTCTCTCTCTCTCTGTAATTCTCTCAAATAAACAAACAAATCTAAAATAAGAAAGGAAAAAGGGGGGGCATGCATATTTCAGTATTTTGTAATTTTCAGTAATCCTAAACTATGGAATACAAATTAACTGAAATATCCACTAAAGTGGTTTAAAAGGAGGTACGTTTTAAAATGGGCTTGCAATCTTATCAATGTGTGAAAGTTTTCAGAAGGGAGCTGTGAAAACCTACCCACTCTGCCAGTGCTGGCTGTAGTACCCCAGAGCCCCAAGGCCATTGCTGCAAGGCTTCTGTAGGAAGCTGCTGCTCAGAGGGACAGTCCAGCAGCGCCATGGCCATGAACTTACAGAGCCACAATTTGCTCCCCGACAAGAAACGGGCAGTTTCAGGACTTACTTGAGGGAGTGCATCTCTGACTTGTGATGAGCGGAGTCACCAGCAACGTGGAAAAGTTTCTGAGCTTGGTATTTTGATCTGCTCTCTAATGACTCCATTTTTTCTTTCATTAGTAACATTTCAGATTTTAGTTCATATTTTTCATCTTCAAGCTATAATTTAAATTATAAAAATTAGTACACAAATATCTATTTTGCAAAGTAGGAAGTCTGTAGTAATATTTCTAGGAGAAACATAACATTATATTTAAGTCCTACATGTCAGAGGAACAGTCACGTTCTTTCCTCACTATTACTAAAATAGAAGAGAGAAATACGCATGTACATATGTGAGTACACATGGTTATACATGTGTGTAAGTCCACACTAACTAAAAACCTAAAATTAATAGAAGGGTTGGACAATAAAATTGAAATTTCCCAGGAACTAAACAAAAGCCGAGGAGAAGAACCTTAGAGAATTGCTTCTGGAAGTTTAAAACCTTGATTAGCAAAAGGCCTAGAGACAGAATATAGGAGTACAGTGGAAGAAATCACTCAAGAAATTGACAATGAGAGACCATGATCAAACCCTTAAACCTTTCTGAAATGAAAACATGCTAAGAAAGCCAGAAAGCAGAACAGCACCTCAACTCCCAACGAAAACAGGGAATTCAGGGAAACGCTCCGACCTCTTAGTAACAGCTGATTTTCCTTGAGGCAGGCACTATAGCACAGTGGGTAAAGCCAGCACCTACGACCCCAGCACCTCGTATGGACAGCAGCTCATGACCTGGCTATTCTGCCTCCAGGCCAGCTCCCTGCAAAACAGCAAAAGACAGACCCACTGTGTGGGCCCCTGCACACAGGGAGACCTACAAGAAGCTCCTGGCTCCTAGTTTCCGCCTGGCTCAGCATTGGCCATTGCGGCCACCTGGGGGGTTAAACCAGCAGATGGAAAATCTCTCTGTGACTCTGACTTCAAATAAATTTAGGGGGAAAAAAGAAACTGTCCCAGTTTAGATTTCTATATACCAAGCCAATTGGTAAATCAAATATGTGAGTTAAGACACTCTCAAACACTCAGAATACCAGAAAAGGTCCAACATGAACTCTGCTCCAGAAACAACTGGAGAAGGATCAAACAGGAAAGAAGAAAACATGTGACAGACATGAGAATGGGGCCAGGGAGAGGTGGAGTCGACCACAGTGCAGGAAGAGGGGCGTCTCCCTGAGGACGCTGACACGCGGATGAGGACCAAAAGGCACAGGTGCAGGGACTCTGGGACTCAGGGAGAACCAAGCTACACCTTCAGTGCAACCCAGGCAGGGAACACAAGCACGAAGAGCTGTGAGCAACAAGGAAAGGAAGGCTGCAGGTGCAGCCACCACGCTGAGAACCACAGCTGAGTGAGGCACACACACAAGCAGCTGCGCTGAGGGAGCAGGTGGTGGTGGCACACTGCCACCCCTTCTCCCCACGCGCGGGAGGTCAGTGGGGGGCACTTCAGTCAGGTGAGACCCCACAGCACCTGAGCCTCCATCAGCACTGGGAGCTGAGTGGGGTTGTTCTGCAGACAGGGAAGTGGGGAAGGAAACTGCTTTTGTACATGAAAAGCCTTTTAAAAACCCCTGGGTGTATTTACTCCAACAAGAGTGCAGGTTGGATGAAAGAAACCAGAATGAACATTTGGGGCCCATCACCCATCTTAAAGATAGTCGCAGCCTGACACTCCTCCGTCCGAGCTGGTTCACGGCTGATGCTCCCAACCCGGCTGCATGGATTACCATCATTCATCCATCTTACAGGCACGAGCCCTTTAGCATTGTTCTCTGGCAGGGAGTGAACTCTAAGACCATGGGGCCCTGGGACTGTCACCCTACTCCACCTCAGCAACACAGGCAACACGTTAGCTGCATTTGACCAGGGGCTCAGTCAGGCAGACCCTCACCTACCTTCTAAACCCAGCGCTGCCTCTGTTAGAACAGGCTGCATTGTCCTGCACCTGGGTAAGATTTGTTACAACTCTTGAGTTTCTGATAATCTGCCAGATACGAACGAATGGTTCTGCATTTGTATTTCCCCAATTACCGTGGCAGACCATCTGTGTATTGGCCATCTGTAATCCTTTCCTTGGCTGAGTGTCCATTCATATCTTCTGTTGATTTGGGAGAGGTTATGCAGAAATGTGTAGCATAATCATTTGCTCCGTGTGGTTAAGATAATGTATGGTTATTAGGTGAGGCTGATTTAGTCAATGTGGTCCTATTTATTCATGCTTTTCTTTTTAAAATTTATTTATTTTCATTGGAAAGGCAGATTTACAGAGAGAAGGAGAAACAGAAAGATCTTTCATCTGCTGGTTCACTCCCCAAAGGGCTGGAACGACTGGCTGCCCTGGTTATTTCAGCTTTTTGAGAACTGAACCAATAGATGGAAAATCTCTTAACTCTGCCTTTCAAACAAATAAATAAATAAATCTTAAAAATATAAAAATAGCTTTATCTGGCACAGACATTCATACAATATGCCCCAAATTCAGTTTGATACATTACCTGATGATTAACACGTGTCAAATGATCAACAGTTTTTTCTAATTCTGATTTTTCAAAAACATTCATTTCTTGAATATTCTGAAAGAGAATTTCATACAAAATATTAATTTATATCAAAGAACAAAACATGACCAAATTAAGCAATGCAAGCTTATAGCAATACTAAATTCTATTTGTCTTTTCATAAACCACAGACAAGTTTCAGAAAGAAAATCCTTAGACATTTAATGGAAACAATGTCTTTGACTAAAGACATTGCTTTTACATTTTCTAGCCAGGTGTGACGGCAGAAGGCTCCGGCTGGTCCAGACTTGCTTCCTCATCAGAATAGGAGCTCCAAGGTAAGACCTCACAAGAGACAGAAGAGGAATGCGGTACACAGCAAGGAACGCTGATATCAAAAACACACAGGGCACAAGGTGAGAGGGCCACGCAAGAGAGAAGACCTTCAAGAACGACCAGTCAACATGTACACAGGACTGACCTTCAAGAACGGCCAGTCAACAAGTACACAGTGTCGCGCCCACGTGTCTTATCGCCCCGCAATAAGAGGCAGATGCGAGTGAAGCCTTCTGCGGTAAAATTTATTGCACCAAGATGAGGAAGAGGAAAGGGCTCCGACCCCGGCAGGCTGTCTGCTCTTATGTGCTGACTGGCCCCACCTCCGCTGATGATAGGTCGGCATCATGATCACGCAGGGTCCTGGGCGACCGGATTCGTCAGTCCCCAGTGTTCATGCGCCGGCCACGCCGCAGCTCACACGCATGCGCAGTACTGCGAAGGCTACGTGACTCTCCACCAGGCACGAAGGTGTGGCTTCTCCGGCCGGCACCATTTTGGGTACGGCATGTGGCCAGTACATACAGATGCGGCTTACAACACACAGGACTGACCTTCAAGAACGACCAGTCAACATGTACACAGGACTGACCTTCAAGAACAACCAGTCAACATGTACACAGGACAGACCTTCAAGAATGAGCCAGTCGATATGGAAACAGAGGACTGCTTCCCTGCTTTACCAGGATGGGTGAAATAAACCTGGTGTTCACTACAAGTCTTGTAATGCGGATTCACACTTCTATCTCTATTAGTCAATACAAATGAATAAAAAAATCTGAAAATTGGGTTCTACATTTGCTTGAAAGGGTCACTGTGCTATAGCTAACTGGGGTTGGGGTTGGCACAGTGGCACAGCTAACTAAGCTGCTGCCTACACCCCCATCAGAGTGTCAGTTAAAGCTGCGCATACGCCCTTTGTGATCCAGCTTCCTGCTAACATGCAGGCACGTGCAATCACTGAGGCCCTCGACAACAGCTGATGCATTCCAAATAGGAACAGCAGACAGCACCCGGAACGGAGCCTTCCGCCAGGGAAGGCTGGCAGATGTTAAGCTGTACTGAGGCAGTTGCACTGCTGGGCCGTGGTGACTGAGACCCGGCCCTCACACACAGTGCTGTGGCAGCGATGACTGGTTCCATGAATGGTGGCTGGCACACTTACGGGCATGGAGAGGCTCAAGCACCAGTGATGATTAGCTCAGTTTCTAAGTGAAAACTGAAAACTCATTAACATCTTTCCCCCTACAACTCTGAAGGATTCAGTTAGGAATGTCACTTTTTCCAAGTTTTCAATACTAATGTATTTTTAAAATCCCACTTTATATTCTTTGAACATTTCAACATATATGGAAATAAGTAGTAGCTTGTGCTAAAATATGCCATATTGCACAGAAGCTTTCTGTTTGATCATTTTAACACTTATTCTTATGGGAAAAAAAACCACTTTCTAGAAGGAATTACTGTTAAAGATCCCAACACGCATATGACACAGAGCGGAAACAGACACAGACCCGCAGAAGCAGATCGCTCCCACCCCCGGCTCACTCCCCAACGCCTACAAATCCCAGCGCTGAGCTTAGGACTAGGCCAGCGGCCGGACGCCCAGGTGAGGTCTCCCACCTGGGGGGCAAAGCCCCAAGCACTGGAGCCCTCATCTGCGGCCTTAAAGGACCTGCACTGGCCTGCAGCCAGGAATGGGAGCCAGAGCTGCGAGCGGAACCCAGCCTGCTGATACAGGACATGGCCTGTTCATCAGTATCTTGCCTGCTAGACCAGACGCCAGTCTCAGCACGGCACAGCAAGGTCTCTAGAAAACAGTTACGAACACATGCAGGACAGGCGGTCCCCCCCTGAGGGAGGAAGTTCTTGGGGGTCCAACCGCTTCCTTGAAGGGCAGGTGGGCAGCCATGTGGGCGTCATGGGTCTCTCCCCCTTCCTCACACAGCCACCCCAAATGGCCACTGCCACACGAAAGAGCTACAATCTATACTCAAATGGGCACCAAGTCCCGTGCACACCTTTTCGGCGATGAAGTCAAGTTCCCTCAGCACTTTTCCAGAAATGTAAGAGCCATTCTTAGCTCAGGGTCACACAGCAGCAGAGAGGTCCAAGGCTGGCGACGTGCTGCCGCCGCCCTGGCTAACCCACGCCAGCTGTGCGTGAGCGGCAGTCACCTCATGGGCAAACACTCGGACTCTGTCCCTCAAAACAAGCCCACCTTGGGCCCAGCGCGGTGGCACAGTGGTTAAGGTCCTCGCCTTGCATGCCTGGGATCCCATATGGGCGCTGGTTCTATCCCGGCAGCCCCGCTTCCCATCCAGCTCCCTGCCTGTGGCCTGGGAAAGCAGTCAAGGACGGCCCAAAGCTTTGGGAACCTGCACCTGCGTGGGAGACCTGAAAGAGGCTCCTGGCTTCGGATTGGTATAGCATCGGCCATTGCACTCACTTGAGGAGTGAATCGGACGGAAGATCTTCCTCTCTGTATATCCGCCTTTCCAATAAAAAAAATAATAAAAAATAAATCTTTAAAAAAAAAAATCCCACCTCCTTACTCACATTTAACTTTTCTCTCAAAGTTTCATTTTCTGCCATCACTCTTCGAAGGTCGGACACTGCAAGCTCCTTCTCCTTCTCCATGAGACTAACGATATTGCTGGAGACGGCGGCCTGGCTGGAGTCCCGCCGGAGCGCGGATAACTCTTCCTGAGCCTAGAGGGACAAAGACACGGAGTTACAAGCACTCTGGATACACAGGCTATCTTACTGTCCTTCCCAGATGCCAACAAAGTAACAGAACTAAAACAGGAATGAAATCAGGAGGAGGAGTCAGGAAGGGACCCCGCCGCTGAGAGGACAGGAGAAAGCAGTGAGCTCAAGCTGGCCCAGGGGAGGACGTGAATGGGGAACTAACGGGTATCCCCGAATTCCCAAAACACTCACAAACTAGAGTGGCCCTTTGAACTTGCAGTTTACATGGCTTCCCCTCAGAGCAGGGCAGACGGGTGTGAGCGCAGAGCCAGAGACAGCACGCTCTGCTCACGCACCTGCTCCCTGGGGAGGCTCTGGGCAGGGCCAGGCTCCACAGACTCCCTCTTCCCAGGAATGGCTTTGTTTTGCTTTTCGTTTTTAACCAAAGCCTAGGTCCCCAGCAGCCAACACTGCAGACAACAGTGGGAGCCGTCTCCATTTGGATATGCTGGGGGACATGTCTGATGTTGAGCATAAATGTGGCTCAGCAGCAGGAGTCATTCCAGATAATTTCAGAAGAAAAAACAGACTAACTGATCTGACACAGACAGGCTAGAAAAGAGAAATATGAAAAAGCAAAAGAATAAAAAAGCGAGAGGAATCTTTAGTCTGAGAACAGGATGGGATGGTGAGGCCCCATGACTCGGGCCAGGAGGAACAGCATCACAACCACATCTGACGTCACCTAGTGGGATATACACTGATTCCAGCAAAGTTCACTGGCTCTAAACCCTCTGTTGGCTGCATTAGAACACATGTTCTTACTTCATTATACAAGACACTGAGTTTATCTCTTTCTGCTGTCAATAATTTCACATTGGCCTGTATGTCCTCCATGTATTTTTCAAATCTTTCCAGCATACGCTGAAGCTCATCTCTTTCTCTTGTGATCAGATGGAGTTCTGAATTGTGATCACTCTGAAATATAATGAAAGAACAAAGTTACCCTGTGCTGTAATTATCGCCACACGGTTGACATGAGGACACTAAGTGGTGAGACGGGCTGAGCGATGCTAACAGACACTAGAGCCCACGTCCCCCTCACGTCATTAGGAATCCATTTTCAAACATCAAACGGAAGCTGATGCAGGCAGTGCCAGTGCTGGAGCCGAGTTCCCGGCTCTGAGTGGGCCAGACGCCATGGCAACTGCTCAGACAGCAGGGACGTAGAGAGCAACAGTGGACCAGCACGTCAGCAGCACCCAAGGGCGTGTCCCATATGCAAGTTCTGGGTCCGTGTTAGACCCCAGTCAGAAGCTGGGGGCAGGCTGCTTCTCTAAGCCCTCAGCGAGTCTACCACAGGCTGACTCTCGAGAACCACTAGTTGCAGCCCTCTCCAGAGAAAAGTCCGGGAAGGAAGGGTGTGTGTGCCCGTGTGTGCACGCTCACCCAACACAGCAGCCTGTACATCCTTCAGGGTTTCTCTGAACTTAAGATCCATTTCCAGATACTCAAATTGTCCCAGTTTCAGACTTCTGTGAGGTTTATTTCCACAATCAGAAAAACATAAATTCTTCTACTGAAAAATGTCCACAGTGACTAAGTAACTACATCCAACACTTTAAAATAAGAATATGCTTGCTAATAAGATACGCTCCAAGTATCCACTACCTTCACCACCATTGTAGAAAAAACAAAGAGGTCGGTGGAGACTTGAGGGCTTTCATGTCGTGAAGTGCAAAGTGTGCAGAAGCCCTAAGTGAGGAGTGGGTGTAATCTGGTCACTTATACCCTGGAATTAGTCCAGACCATCCATTTCTTGTGCACAGACCACTCCAGGATCAAGCTAGTCGTTGGTAGGCTAGCTATGATGTACCTCTCCCCTATCACAATTAATCAGGCAAAATCAAAGCACACTGGAGAGCTTAGCCTCTCAATACCTTAAAGGACAAGACGTTCAACAAAAACAGCTGATCAGTATTTTGAGATTAAATCTAGGTTTAAATTAACTATTTAAGATCATCTGTAAGCTAACCATGTTTAAATTTCAAAAATCTTTTTGTGTAGATTCTAGAAAAGAACTCTCCAATGAATAAAGATTTGACAATTTACTATTTAGGTCTCAGCTTAAATGTCCATTTCTCCAAGGAATCCTTCCAGGTTCTCAAATCTGATCTCATCTCCTTCCATAAACTCGGAGCTGCTCAATCTTTCCTGTACTTTCCTCATTAATATGGATTATATAAGACTGTAAAGTCATTTCCATGATTCCATGTTAATCTGTGTCCAAGTCACTAAAGTTTACGCTCTACAAGGGCCACCTTGGTTTTGCTCAGTGCCTACCACATTACCTGGTAAAATGCACCCACTTCCTGAACATTTACTTACTGACTCATCTTGAGTCGAGACCAACTCTTCTCTAAGTGCACCTGGTAGCTGAGATGTTGGTGTCAGGGTGGATGAAGACGAGCTGTTAGGAACTCTGTCACTCCATTGTTCCCAAGAATACACACAAGTGTGTGAACACGTGTGCACAACACTGAAGGAAATGAGAACAGCAACGAGCTTCTTCATCTCCACCTGTGCCTCTCGCACGGCAGACCCTCACACGCACCTGCTGAGCCTAGCCCAACTTTGTACTCAGACCTCACCTGCTTTGAGTCAACTAAGGTAAGATAACAAATACCAGCGACCAGACATGCTGCTGGAGCCTTGCACAGATTACATTAACTTAATCTTCATAAGGGGTTGTGATTACTTCCCCCACTTCCCATGTGACAATTCTGGTAACTTCTCCAAGGTCAGAAAGCCAGACTGTGACGCTCCATCTTAGTTAGAATGGGAATCGGTGGTGCGCACAGGGTAAAAGGGGCAGTCCCTCACGACCCGAGGATCGGTGAGTGTATTACTAACAACTGCTGAGCTTTGACATGGCAGGGTTTCTTTCTTGTTCAGTCATTACATTTTCAAGAAGCTATGCCTAAGAGCTGGTTATACAGCAGCGTGGGGTACTCAGCGGGTTTTGCCAATCCAGCTCTAGACAGTGTTGGCAAGCACATTGAAATGTCAGGTGAAGAACATTCTCGCTTGCTCCCAGGACCCCCCACTGCTACGCCCACTCACTTGCACACCTACCCACTACTGTCACACACACTGCCCCCCATAACCGCGACTTGTTCCTGGGACTCTGCAATGCTCTCAACATCCTGACTTCTTGGAAGCTGGAAAATAAACACTGTCCACGTCAGGCAATGCCACATCTCAGGGAGGGAAAATGACAGGAGGAAGGGCCTTGGAACTCTCTAGAACTTGAAGCAGTATCTCCCACTTGTCTTTCAATTTTGACTTCACAATAAGAAATTGAGTAAAGAGCCAGGCATGATAGCCTAGTGGCTAAAGTCCTTGCCTTGAACACGCCGGGATCCCATATGGGCGCCGGTTCTAATCCCAGCTGCCTCGTTTTCCATCCAGCTCCCTGCTTGTGGCCTGGGAAAGCAGTCGAGGACTGCCTAAAGCTTTGGGACCCTGCACCTGCGTGGGAGACCCAGAAGAGCTCCTGGCTCCTGGTTTCAGACTGGAGCAGCTACGGCCAATGTGGCCGCTTGGGGAGTGAACTTGCAAGTGAAAGATCTCCCTCCCTGTCTCTCCTCTCTGCATATCTGACTTTACAATAAAAATAAATAAATCTTAAAACAAAAGAAACTGAGTCAAAGATTTATTTTGGCTAAAAGTTTTGAGATGGCTATCTTCTCAGTGCTACCAAATTCACGAACAAATCCCCCACAGAGGCAAATGATTTACCCTGCGGCTCATTTTTCTCGAGTCCAGCTAAGTATACATAACTTAAAAAAAAAAAACACTCAGCAATAGATACATTAGCTTGCAATGTATATTATCACCAATTCGTTTTGTTCATTAATAGATAACAGCATTACAGATAACAACTATAAAGCAAAATTTAGCCACCATCCAACAAGGTTAAAAACTAAATCCAACCAGAAGATGTAAAACCGCTCTGACAACAACACAGGACCTTCAGGCGGGAGCTGACCCAAGTGGCCAACTCAGCACAGTGTGAAAGAGACGCTGTGGGCTGCACGACTTCCGCTGAGCCTCTCTCTTTCACCCTAGTGTGGACATGCGGACAGGGCCACACAAGCCCTCAGAACTCCTATACCCACAGCTCTAAAAAAGGAGATCTCAAGAGCCCAAATGTTAACCATGAAAAACTGCAGATCATGAAGACCTAACAGAGAGACATGATTTTTACCTCCCACATACCATGGTCAACTTTCAACACTATCCACAACAGAAGACCAAAACAGAAAATTACCTTAACGGGGGCAACCTTTACACAATCAACAGGCCAGTACGGCCTGGGCAGAAGCACCACCCGCACAGCCCACACCCCCAGCTCCATCTCCCACAACTGGGTTCCCAGCAGGAAGGGCAGAAGGAGACAGAAGGCACCCTCCCGACTGCTCCAAGGTTGCCTGCCAGGTGGACAAACCCTCCTGCTGCAGGAAGGAAAAGGCAGCTTTTACACAAACTAAATGCAGACAGAAGCGTCCGGCAGCAGGCGCCTGGGCCCGGTCCTCGCGCCCAGAGACCTCTGCAGTGTCCAAGTTCCAGCTTTTCTGTCACCTCCAGCAAACAGCAGGTCACACTCTGTTCCTGTCCTAACTCACACAGCACAAATCATGGAAGAAAACGAAAATTAAAACCTTTTAAAACCAAGTATGAATATCCTTAATGCAGTAATAAACCAGAATGGTTCATTCGGAAGGATATTCTTGCCTGACTAACTGTTTTTCGAAAGGAATACTTACCTTTTCTTGTGTTTTAAATGCTGGAGCTTTTTCACGTGCACCATAACTTGTAGAGCCAGATCTTCGCTGTATTAAATGTTGGAGTCTTTCTAGCTCTTTTTTATAATAATCTCGTTCTTCTTCTATACCTTTCAGAAATGTATCTAAACGGGAAGGCGACCTGTCTCGACGTTTTATTCCATGTTCTAGCCTCATTCTCTCAACTTCCAAAGTGAGTTCTCTTTCTGTGAATTAAAGAGGTTAAATTTAAAATGTTATACATACAATGTTGATTAAACATATTTTAGAAAAAAGGGTTTCTAGAAGTCATAGACTATTTTGTGCCTGTGCCAGATACAGTGAAAAGGTAAAAAAATGAGAAAGAAGGGGAAAACATCAAGAGCAAAAACAAAAAAATGTAAGTCTTTGGTAAGTCAATGCTTACGTAATGTGCTAGAAACTGATGCATTAAATTAGCACATGGCACATCCCAAGGTCACGAGACAGCACTATATAATATGCACAGATACAATGTTAAGCTTGAATGCAGTATCTACATACACAGAACTCAGAACAACTCAAGTCTTTCCCTAAATCATCACTCACTCAGACCAGAGACAGCGCCTGGGACTCAGCACTGACATGTACACGGTGCCAACACTTGCAGCTGCTGCGAGGCGAGGGCCAGCTCCCTGTGCACCCTACTCTCTCAGCTCAGTCAGTGAGCACTTACTGTGTCAAACAGTGATCCCAGGACAGGAAGGATGAAAGCCACATTATATATATTGCAATAAACAATGCAGACTGGAGGATGGCACAAATAATTCTGTCCCAAGAAGGAGTGAGTAGGGAGCAGGCAAGAAGGCAATGACAGATGCACTGTGGCACAGTGCGTTAAGCCACTGCCTGCCATCAGTTTAGTTACCTGGTGTTGCTGGTTTGATTCCTGGCTACTCTACTTCCAATCCAGCTCCCCGCGCAGCCCCTGGACCCACAATAGTAATGCGGATGGGATTTCAGACTCCTGGCTTCAGCCTGGCCCAGCCCTGGACAATGTAACCATTTGGGGAAAGAAGTACTGGGAATAAATGAAGACTCCCTTGCTTTCAGAAATTGCCATTCAAATTTTTTTTAAAGAGGGATGGGATTGACACTTCGGAGTAGCTTGCTAAGCTTCCAAATGCAATGCTGGCATCCCTTGAGGGCACAGGTTTGTGTCCCAGCTGCTCTAATACAGAAATATCTTTTGTCCACCAGCTTACTCCCCGAGTGGCCGCAATGGCCGAAGCTGATCAGGTCCGAACACAGGAGTCAGGAGCTTCTTCTGGATCTCCCACACAGGTGCAGGGTCCCAAGGCTTTGGGCCATCCTTGTCTGCTTTCCCAGGCCACAAGCAGGGAGCTAGACGGGAAGTGTGTAGGCCCTGGTCTCCCAAGGGTTAACTCCACAGCTCAGCTGTTTTCTCAAAGGTGTAACAGGAAGGGCAATCATGGCCTGATACATTTAGCCCATGGCTTGACTGCAATTTCCCTCCTTCCTGCTTCCCATTTTTGCACATCCTGACTGCAATTTCCCTCCTTTCTGCTTCCCCTTTTTGCACGTCCTTGGGGGAGCTTAGGTGTTGCTTAACCATTGGGAAGATCCTGGGAGGGGCCAAGCAGACTATATAAGAGAGTTTGACTTTGAATAAAGGCTTTCACTTCACAAGAATGAGCCTCAGTGTGTTGTGTGTCTTGTCTGTCTCATAACCCTAGTCCCTCCGCTCGACTCGGGGCTGGAAGTACGTGGCAATACAGGCGTTGCCAACAAAGTGGAGCAGCCAGGACACAAAGTGGCACCCATATGAGATCCTAGAGCATGCAAGGCAAAGATTTAGCCACTAGGTTATTGCGCCAGGCTCACAAATAAATCTTTTCGGAAAACTTTGTTGCTTGCAGAGGCAAAGAGTTAGAGAGCTGCCATCCATCGGCTCTGTCACCAGTGACTGCAGTGGCCAAAGCCGGGGACCAGGAACCCAATTACCCCAGCCCTCACTGCTGCCTCCCAGGTGTGCGCTGGCAAGGAGCTAACCTTAGGAGCAGGAGCGAGGCACGGCTACCGGGCTAAAACCACCTGCTCCCCTCAATAATTCTTAATGTGTTTGAGGAATGTTCTACTTATCCACAATGTGTAATACGGTTTGTAATTGCAGTAAACATGCAACACATACGTACTGAATCAACGCGAACTCAACCACTAACCAAAGGACCGAGCCAGAGGGACTCTCCAGCACATTTTCACATTTTACCTGAAACTGCGAAACTCTGCACCTTCTTGCTCAGTCTTTGCTTTTCTTGCTCAAGCTGGTGGACAACCGTTTCCAGATCTGACTTCAGAAGCAGCTCGTCACTCAGTCTTTCCTTCTCTTTATGACATAAGTTTAATTCCTGCAAATTTTAATTCCGTAATGAAACTTCCTAACTTATAAAAAATATGGCACATAAAAGTAAAACAGGTATTTTGTAAGCACGTTTAGGTAACAGCAATTTAAATGCATATGTGTGTTTACACATCCCATTAACCAGATTCCACTGCAGCTCACTACCACTTGTGGCAACAAACACCATAAAACCCGAATGCCAACACCACTGCTTTGCGAGTGGTGAGGCTCCACTTCTCCCCCAAAGACCTATGTCTTCACGCAATGGAGATGACTTAGGCTTGCCATGTCTTTCAGAGTGCAGCAGCAAGAGGGGTGCCCCAGAACTCGCACACGGGAGCGCCCACATCACAGTGCTGTCATTCTCTCCGCCTCCTCTTATCACACGGTAACAAGACCAGGGCCCTGAGGCTTCACTGCGAGGAAGGCTTCCTGAACACAGTGCACTTTGTACTGTGTCTCAGATGGGTAGCACTTAGCAGGCATTTGCTGGAACTAGCAGAGTGGGATAAGCCACTGCTCGCAATGCTGACTTCCCATCTGAGAGTTGGCTCAAATTCCTCAGCTCTGCTTCCGAGCTAGCTTCCTGCTCACAGGCCTGGGAAAGCAGCAGAAGACAATCCAAAGGTCTGGGCTACTGTCACCCACAAGGAAAACCCCAGTGCAGTGCCAGGCCTGTAGCTTCAGCATGACCTCGTCCTGGCAGTAGCGGCCACTTAGGGAACAAACCAGTGGATGGAAGAGCTCTCTCTGCCTCTCCTTTTCTAACTCTTTCACCTAAATAAACATTTTTTCAAAAAATAAACATTTTCTTTTAAGATCATCCTTACTCGCTGAAAAAACAGTAACTAAAACATAGTATTTCAAAATAAAGCACTAGGGCCCAGGACGGTAGCCTAGCGGCTAAAGTCCTTGCCTTGCGCTGGGATGCCATATGGGTGCCAGATCTAACCCCCGTGGCCCTGCTTCCCATCCAACTCCCTATTTGCAGCCTGGGAAAGCAGTCGAGGACGGCCCAAAGCCTTGGGACTCTGCACCCGTGTGGAAGACCCAGAAGAGGCTCCTGACTCCTGGTTTCGGATTGGCTCAGCTCTGGCTTTTGTGACCACTTGGAGAGTGAATCAACAGATGGAAGATCTTCCTCTTTGTCTCTCCTCCTCTCTGTATATATGACTTTCCAATAAAAATAAAATACATTTTTTAGAAAAAAAAAAGCACTAATGGAAACAGTAAGAAAGGTTAATAAATAATTACTACAACATCTTCCTGTCAACCAAGACTGCTGACGCTCGGCCCCAGTTCTGATCAAGCATCCCAGTCCCATCCTGCAAGTAGGGTGCACTCACACACAGCGGTGAGCAAGCTGCAAAGCCTCGCCCTCACAGAGCTTACCTTCTAGCGAACACATTATCAAAACACCTACCTCAAATTTATTGGTCCCAGGGGAGAATTTTAATGAGATTAAAGAATTGGGCAATATAAATTTATAGGCCCATGTAGTGGAATATTACTCTGCCATAAAAAAGAACTAGGCAGCCATAACACATATGTCAGGAAGACAGGCAGCCAAGCGGAAGCAGTTATCTGACTACATTCCACGGACTGGCTGGAAGAGGCCCACCTAGCGAAGACAAAGTAGGCTCCTGGCGGTCAGGGGCTGAGCAGGGGAAACGAGGCAACCACTGCTGGCTAGCACGCTTCCTTCTGGAATGATCACCCTGGTGGGGTTGGGTGGCAGCGACAGCTGTGCCACTGAGCACCAGGAGTAAAGCCGAGATGCATACTGAAAACGGTGTCAGGAGAGTCAGTTTTATCTCAATAAAGACAGTACCTATGCAAAATAAAGCACAAAAATTTCCCTACAAACAATACTGGCAATTCAACATGAAATCAACTTACCAGCTGAAGTTTTGCCACTGTTTCTTCCAGATCCCTCATTTCAGACAGCTTTCTCTTAATCTCATTCTAGGAAGAAAAAGCCCACTTAGTAAAGACCGGAAGGGTCAACAGTGGCGCAAAGGTCAGTCACAGAGCAAATGGGACCACACAGATTACCAAGCAGCTCACGCTTATGCTCAGCTAAGCAACCTGAGGCTTCTGGCCGACTCTGAGCCCACGCATGGCCCGCGCTCCCTGCCCACACTGAGCCCACGCACAGCCCACGCTCCCTGCCCACACTGAGCCCACGCACAGCCCACGCTCCCTGCCCACACTGAGCCCACGCATGGCCCATGCTCCCTGCCCACACTGAGCCTACACGAGGTCCACGCTCCCTGCCCACACTGAGCCCACGCACAGCCCACGCTCCCTGCCCACACTGAGCCTACACGAGGTCCATGTTCCCTGCCCACACTGAGCCCACGCACAGCCCGTGCTCCCTGCCCACACTGAGCCCACGCACAGCCCGTGCTCCCTGCCCACACTGAGCCCACACATGGCCCGCACTCCCTGCCCACACTGAGCCTACACGAGGTCCATGCTCCCTGCCCACACTGAGTCCACATGGCCTCCATTTCACTGCCCACAATGAGTCCACGTGTGGCCTGCTCTTCCCTGCCATGCCCTGGAGGCTTCCAGAGGCCCAGGTATAAGATTCTGATAGCACAGGTCTCCTGGATCCTCCACAGGTAAGAAGCTCCTTGGGCCCATCTCGTGGCCCCTCCCTGATGTTCCCATCCTAGCTGCTCTCTCCCCACCTCTTACCAATCTGGATTCTCCATGCCACTACTAAGCCCAGAGCCAGGAAGAAAACAGTGCGACCTATCGGGAATAGCTTCCTGGGCAGCCAGCATTTCTGAGCAGTTGCAGGGAGACACGACAAACTGTGTTTGTTGTTCATGTGGCCATGTGCAAGTACACGGGTGATGTGAGAGACAGGAGCTAGGAGAGGATGCAGTGAAACTACAACCACCCGAGCAGAAATGCACTAATCCTCACTTTATTCAAAACTGTCCAGGCTGGGGCCCGGCACAGTGGCGCACTGGTTAAGGTCCTCGCCTTGCAAGCCCGGGATCCCACATGGGCGCCAGTTCTATCCCAGCAGCCCCGCTTCCCTTCCAGCTCCCTGCCTGTGGCCCGGGAAAGCAGTGGAGGACGGCCCAAAGCTTTGGGGCCCTGCACCCGCGTGGGAGACCCGGAAGAGGCTCCTGGCTTCGGATCGGCATAGTATCAGCCGTTGCGCTCACTTGGGGAGTGAATCATCGGACGGAAGATCTTCCTCTCTGTCTCTCCTCTCTGTATATCCGCCTTTCCAATAAAAAAATAATAAAAATAAATCTTAAAAAAAAAAAACTGTCCTGGCTGTCCCCTGAGGCTGCAAGTGAATTTTAGTGTTTTTTCCTTATTTCTCAAAAAAAAAAAAAGTCTTTGGAATTTTCATACACATCACACTGGACCTGCAGACTCTCCTGGGTAGAATGGACACTGTAATGCTGTCTCCCCGAATACACGGCGGCTGTCCATCTCCCAGGGCTTTCTGCAGGTTTGTGCATCAGTGCTTTACACAGCATCTTCACATTTACGAGCCTTCATTTGTACTATTTAGGTTTGTTCTGAACTATTTCTTTCTCATGCTGTTACATAAATGGGATTGTCTCATTCATTACCTTTTGGGATTGCTTATTGTTAGTGTACAGAAACACACCTGAGTCCTGTGATGTATCCTGCAGTGTTGCTCAACTCCCTAGTAGCTGTTTCTTGGGGGGCTTCCTAATGTATAAATCCATCTGGAAACAGATTGTTTCACTCGTTCTTTTAAAGTTTTTTTAAATTATTTTTTAATAATCTTACTTAGTTGCTTAGGGTACAAAGGGTCAAGGGCTACAGGGTGAAAGTGGATAATACCCTTGTTTCCACACTAATATTATCATTTTCCCCTGTATCTGGGGTTAGGGGAGTAACAAAGGGAAAACCCCACCCAACACCTCCCACCCATCCCCGATCCCCAATGGGAGGCATGCTCCAAGGGTCCTGCTCAAGCAGTTCATCAGTTCTGGATTGCTGATAGTTCATCAGTTCTGGATTGTTCATCAGTTCTGGATAGTTCATCAGTTCTGGATTGCTGCCAATCTTGCAGTTCTAATCACAATGAAACCTATTTAGAATCCACTGGCTGACATAGTCTCTTCATGGTTGGGTTCTGAGATCAGCAGTTCAGTTGGAGGGATCTCCAAAGAAACTTCATCTGAGATGATTTCAAACCTGATTCTTGTGTGAACTTGCTAGTACAGACTCCAACACCATCTGTCACACCAATCAACTTATGCACATGCTGGTCGTTGTGATTGCTGGGTCCATTCTGTTTTCAGCCCTGTCTTCCTTGTGAACCAACAGGTGTTGTAGTCCAGCTCAATCCTACCCACTTCATACTCAGTCCTCACACAAACCACTTAGAGCTGCAGCCTAGTTGGGGCGACTCCCCAAAACCCCCACCAGTTCTGCCCCCTACCCTGGCTCCCAAGCTTGCCAGTATGTATCACAGGCTTGTCCAGTATGTCCCACATCCCATTTAGCTCTCACACACGTCAATGGGCATTGAAGCCTAGTTCAACCCAACCAACCTACTATCCAGCCCATACACCTACTGGCAGGTGCCTTTCTGTCTAGCCACCCCTGCCCCTGTCCTGGTTTTCATGCTGTCCAGTGAGAGTGGTAACCCAAGAGGGAGGTGCCCACTATTTCCCTTCTAGGCCACACCCACTCCCAGATTATGCACTCTCCAGGTGGTTCTGGCATTTGACTTGACAGAATTAGCTCCCAGCGCCAGCCTCTGCCAGCTAATACTGTGGCTAAGCCCAACCAACCCTCACCCACTCTAATTTTTGCTTATACCAGTCGAAACAGTCAGCCCACTGTGGCCCTTCCCTGGTCTAGCTCACATGAGGCCGACAGGTGTTATAGCCCTGTCTAATCTGATCTGCCCCATCCCAACTCACGCTTTCCCATGGAAGTAGTTGTCCAGCAGGGGAGCCCACATTCCCCTGTCGGTTTTGCCTCCTTCCCCTGATTATCACATGTGCTGTTTGGGTGGGGCAACCACATCTGGTACGGCTCATCTTACCTTGGCATTGCATATTGTGCACTGGTTTTTGTTGCGACTGAACCTGGCTCGACCCACAATCTGTTCTGGTGCTCTGGTTTGCCAGCGGGTGATGTGAACAGGTTCAGCCTGGTCTGCCCCCAACCCATGCCATGTGTATGCCAGTGGGAAACTTTCCATTGCCTGTTCTGGGCTGTTTCCTATTATGCTTCTTCCGCTTACCTGCCAGGTCTGTATCCTGCCAGAGGAGTTGTCTAGGCTCCTCCATCAGAAACTCTCCCAGTGCCAGATTTCGCACATACCAGTGGGTCCATGAGCCAGCCCTACTCAGTTCATCTCCTGTCCTAGCAGAAACAGTGGCTTTTCCTGACTGGCTTTCAACCCATTCTGGTCCTTGCTGTTGGATGTTTCAGCCCAGCCATGGCTCTTCCACACCCCCATACAGCTCACACATGGTTCAGTAAGGGCTGAGACCTAGCCTAGTCTGTCACACATCTCCCCTGGTCCTCTAGAGGAGGAGTGTTGGAGTCTGGCCCGGCTCGGTGCTTCCAGGCCCAGTCCACACTTGTGCCAAATGAGATTACAATCATATCCTGATCAGAACACAGCCCACATTCCAGCCCATGCGCTCCTTGGTGGGAGCCTCAACCCAGCTAGGGTGTCCCCTTAGCTTCCCAGCCGGGCCTATTCCCAGCCTTAGATCACGTGCAGGCCAGTGATTGCTCTGACTCAGCCTGGCAGAGCCCCTCACCTGTCCTGGTCCCTTGGATGCTGTGGCTTAGCGTCCCTGTCTCACACAGATCAGTAGGTACAAGTACCTACTTGGCATGACCTGTGCTCCATCCTGATTTCTGTTGTTTCTTGTGAGTTAAGGTTTGTTTAGTCCTGCCCATTCTGCACCCTTCCAGTGGCAGCCTGGCCCACCCCACATCCTGTTTTAGGATGCACATTCAGGTGCTGCTGCCTTGGCCTGACCTGACTGTTGTGGGTTCCTTTACCCGTGAGTGATGGCAGGTGGCATGGTCACACCTAGCTTAGTCCATCACAACCCCAGCTTGCAAGCTAACCAGGGGGGGCTTATATTTCCACAGGGTTGGGCCCACACAACCCCACAGAGTTTACCCCCAGACCAAGTTCTCACGCATGCTGGATAGTGTCTTAACCCTGACAAACATCACCACTCTACCACTCCACCACCCAGTAGGGTAATGGTACCCAACACTGCCAAAGAGGCCCCATCCATAGCTTTGGTGTGGGCTGGTATGTGGCGATCAGTGATGTTCTATGCTAACTGCTCATCTCTAGATTCCTAAGTGGGCTGGTGAATCTGTATAACCCAACTTATCTTCTGGATACTTCCCTCCAAACCACCAGGTCTCAGTCCCCACACATGCCTGAAACTTTCATGACCCTGGCACTGGGAATCACCCAAAATTCATTTCTCACCTATACTAAAACTGGCCTTAGTCATGGGCATCCCCAGGCAGCAACTTTATATCTTAAAAACCCCAGAGTTCGCCACCGATGGCAGCACGCAAAGCCTGGCACCACTTGCTGCACTGGCCACCCAGGGCCGAGGACTCATTCACTGCCTTCTGGCAGTGTTTTTGGCATGAGTCCCCAGCATTGGGTCAGACCCGACAGGGGAGCCCCCCACAACCGCCATACTGCAGGTTGCTACAGTTGCCCCCAACCCCAAGGCCCGAACCCCTCCCAAACTTGCCCAGCCACAAGATCTTAGTGGCAGGGCGGAGCTAGGAATTTTAACCCAGTTCCCAAGTTCCCTTATGGCAGACTTACTCTGAGGGAAGAGCTCTCTTGGGTCCTGGGGGAAGCCGAGGACTCATTCACCGCCTCCCGGCAGTGTCTTTGGCGTGAGACCCCAGCATTGGGTCTGACCTGGCAGAGCACCACCCCCCCCAGTCACCACACTGCAGGGAGCTGCAGTTGCCCCCAACGCCAAGGCCCGAACCTGTTTCACTCGTTCTTTGCAGGTTGTCAAGTGCCCTGGCATGACCCACCACACTGCATTACACAGAGCTGGCAGTGGGCATCATCACCTTGCTACTGATACTAAGGAAAGATTCTGGTCCACTGCTTGTGAACGTGCGCTGTTTCATTACCCCGAGGCAGTTTCCCTCCTTTTGGCCCATCGTTAAGAGACAACCACTAAATAAAATCAACTCAGTGACACGGAACAGTGCTCCTAGACTGGCATATACCTCTTCACATAACACCATAAAAACTCCCCAAGGAGGACGCAAACTACAGCATGGACCTGTTCTCAAGCACCAGGAGCTAGGTCCTTTATCCACACTACGCCTCTTAAACTTGACCCTCCAGAGAGCCTGTCTGGGTCTAGGTTTGTGGGAGTCCTCTCTTCCCATCCCTCCTACAGCTATTTCCCTCTCATTTTTCAAAGAAAGGTAGATAGGGGTCACCGAAATATTCTCAGAAAATGTACACTGCTGAACCCCCCGCCTGTGACCTGCCTACAGGCCCTGGTCGCCTCCACCTGCCCGGCACACACGCAGCACTCCTGGTGACTGGCAGGAATGGACCCTGAGACACTGTGCCGGCAGGCAGCTTCCACAGGCAAGCGCCTTTCTCCCGGGACACTTACAGGTGTTTTGCCACTACAAGTTCAATGTTTGTGTGCCCTACTTGTCACCCTGGAGCACTGATTAGTTATATTTGTAACGAGAGAACTATCTGAAGGAAAATGATAACATTCTGACATACAAAATCTTTATACTTGATCTTGCTGAAAGGCTGACACATGATTGAAAGCCACAATCTTTAAAAATACAAACGCCAATCCATGTGCTTTTACAATGGAGCTGAATCATAAGTGAATACAAGACATCCTGAAGCATACGATGTTAAGATAAGACAGCATTTTGAAGATTTCAAGGAGAAAAGGCCATTTAATTTTCATTGGCTATAGATTAGCCTATGCTGCCACTGTGCCAGCCCCAGGGAATACATAGTTTTAAGAATGCTTTTACAGGGTTCTCAGCCAAAGAGAACACAGAAAACCAATCTCTGAAACTCTCATAATTCAAAGACAAAAAAAAAAAAAAAAAAAACGGCAAAGAAAACCCTGAGGGACTGGCCCGGTGCAGTGGCGCAAGTGGTTAAAGGTCCTCACCTTGCAAGCCCGGGATCCCATATGGGCGCCGGTTCTAATCCCAGCAGCCCCGCTTCCCTTCCAGCTCCCTGCCTGTGGCCTGGGAAAGCAGTCAAGGACGGCCCAAAGCTTTGGGACCCTGCACCCGTGTGGGAGACCCGGAAGAAGCTCCTGGCTTCGGATCGGCATAGTATCGGCCCGTTGCGCTCACTTGGGGAGTGAATCATCGGACGGAAGATCTTCCTCTCTGTCTCTCCTCTCTGTATATCCGCCTTTCCAATGAAAAAATAATAATAAAAATAAATCTTTAAAAAAAAAAAAACCCTGAGGGACAACAGAGATGACTGGTCATCTGTACTAAGCACAGGAGTACTCTGGAACAACATCTCACAGAAGGATGACCCCACTGACCTGGAGACAAATCACATCTTAGGAACCAGGAAGGGCCCAGTGCTGTGCCGCAGCAGGTACCTGTGAAGCCAGCACCCCACAGGGGCATGGATGGGTTCAAGTCCTGGCTGCTCCACTTCAGATCCAGTTCCCCGCCAGGATGCCTGATGAAGCAGTGGAGGATAACCCAGGGGCTTGGGCCTTTGTTCCCATATGGGAGACCTGGAAGAAGTTCCCAGTCCCTGCCTTTAGACCAGTTCAGCTCTGGTTCTTATAGCCATATGGGAAACAAACCAGTGGGAGGAAGATCTCTCTCTCTCTCTAACCCTACCTTTCAAATAAATCAATAAATTCTACAAAAGAAGAAAAACCAATCAACCAACCAACTCTGGATTACTAAAACACAAAACCAGAAACACACTAAACAGGCACACTAAAGGGTCTGAGCGTGCGTGTGGAGGCACGGTGTCGGGACAACACAGCGCCTGGGGACCATGCCCGGAACCCAGAGCCTCCGGTACCTTTGCTTCCCCGAGTTCTTTATCGGCAGTCTCCAGCACCTCCTCCTTGTGTCTTTCCAACTGCTGTGCCAACTGGTCGATTTCAGTTAATTCCTGGCAGAGTTTTTCATTTTTGTTACTTAAATTAACAACTTCCGTGGCCACGGTTTCTTTGGTTTCCATAAGCTCTTGGATGTGTTTTTCCAGGTCCTTGTTAGCTTGCTGAAGAAAGTCCACCTGATGCAATTCATAATGCGTAACATGCCTGGATTAGAGAGCTATCCTAAACACCAAACTCCAAACTCATAGTTCAAACACGATTTCAAAAAGATTTGCAGTGAAGATGGTGGGAGGCGCAAACACCTCTGTGCCTCCCACCACCGGGGCCCAGCCTGAGCTCCCAGCCCCCGCCTCTGCCCACACAGGAGGCCGCCCTGGGCACCTGGGGGACTGACTCACAGGAGCCAGCTCTCTGTGGCTCTGCCTGTCAAATAAATAACATGTTTCTTAAAATGTCTTTTAAATGCTGAAAATTAAAGCCACTGTTAGGGTGTATTTACAAATTCATGCTGTCTTTATTTGCAAAACTGACACTGTGTGGTTTAATGAAAGCCAGTGACTTTGATTTCCCAGAACATAGGAAGTCTGTGTGAACTTCTCCCCGACAGAGTCCTACAAATAGGACGTTTCATGGTAATGATGGAGTCTGGACTTCATGTCCAGTACGACCATCACTAGCATCTAGGTGCAGGCACCGAGGACTGGCAATGCAGGAGGACACTGCGAGACGCGCTGCAGGCAGGAAACACGCCAGGACTACAAAGGGGCCACAGGAAGCAAGGTGATTACATGTTGAGACAAGGTTCATATTATCACAATTACATCTATCTCTTTTTTTTTACTTTTCAAAATGTGGCCACTGCACGGGCTGTCACTGTGGCACAGCACACCACGTCACTTCCTGCAGCCCCAGCACCCCGCGTGGCCAGTGCTATAGGGCCCAGCTGCTCAGCCCTGCCAACGCATTGGGGAAGCAGAGGGAGCCTAACCAAGTCCCCCGGCCCTGACCAGTGTGGGAGTCCCAGGGGGCGGTCAGGCTCCTGAACTCAGCCCGGCCCGGCCCAGGACTGTGTTGTTTCAGCAAGGAGCCAACAGATGGAAGCTCGGGCTCTCCCTCTCTAACTCTGCTTTTCAAATAAATACATAAATCTATTTTTAAAATGACTTTTTCATGGCAGTAACCTGTTTCTGGACACTCTGACTCTACTGAGTTATTTCCCTGTAAATCACACCTGAGTGAGAAACTCAGGGTTTAAAGTCTGGAGACCACCAGAAACATCTGCAAATGTGGAGCCTCAGCAAACTGCGAAGGCCGTTACCTGGATATTTAAATGAGCGATCAGCTTTTCGTTGGCTTTATTTCTGTTTTCCAGCGAGAGGACATCAGGGGAGCGACCACCATCCAAGGCCACGGACAGCCGTTCTATCTCTCGTTCTCTCAGCTCAATCTGTGGGCATAAAGTCGTGCTATCACTTTGGAACTGCTGCTTTGAACTCATTAACAGTGAGCACACACTTGCAATACTTGTTAATGCCACAGAAAGAAACCTGGTGGTGGAGCCCGCAGGTGCCAAGCCCTGGGGCTGGGCGTGCTGGGCCTGCTCAAACTAACACACAGGAATCCGGCACAGCGACCACAGCGGGTCCTGCTGCAAAGCCCAGGAAGCCACAGTGCCGGGAACCAACCATCCGCCACCGGGCAGACAGCACGAGCGAGCACAACCAGACAGACTGCCGGCCATACACGGACACCAATCCCCACGCAAAACCGGGAAAACTGGCCGTACACAGAGACCAATCCCCACGCAAAACCAGGAAAACTGGCCATCCACGGACACCAATCCCCACGCAAAACCGGGCAAACTGGCCATTCACGGACACCAATCCCCACGCAAAACCGGGAAAACTGGCCATTCACGGACACCAATCCCCACACAAAACTGGGAAAACACACACTTCCTGCTTGGTTTCTTTTTCCAAAAAGTATTGAAAATAGAAACCAAGTAATTCAAGAAGCAATTCTAGAGTACAGGGTTAGGGCTATAAAGATGAATAAAATGTGGTTGCTGAATTTCAGGGACTCAGAGCTTCACAGGGAAAAGCAGCAGCTAAGCCAGTAACTGCAATGAAATATGAGCCCTCAAGGCCAGAACACAGTCGCCAAAGTAGTTATAGGATGAGGTGACTCAGTCTCATGGTGTGCTGCGCCTGCGGCATCGGCGAGGTCTTCACCAGACAAGCCCGTCACAAAGCCACAATGAGACAAGGGCCATCTCATTCGCAGTGACAGAAAGGCTCGCTGTGTCTTGGGCATGTCAGATGACTCACTCGGACAGTACCACAGTGGGCATGGGCTGGAGCTGCCAATGAGTGGGAATAATCAGGCAGGGGCCCAGCACGGTAACCTAGCGACTAAAGTCCTCACCTTGCATGCGCCGGGATCGCATATGGCCGCCGGTTCTAATCTCAACAGCTCCACTTCCCATCCAGCTCCCTGCTGTGGCCTGGGAAATCAGTGGATGACGACCCAAAGCCTTGAGACCCTGCACCCATGTGGGAGACCCAGAAGAAGCTCCAAGCTCCTGGCTTCATATCAACCCAGCTCCAGCCATTGAAGTTCCTGGGGAGTGAATCATCAAACAGAAGATCTTCCTCTCTATATATCTGACTTTCCAATAAAAATAAATAAATCTTTAAAAAAGAAAAAAGAATCAGGCAGGAGCTTTGATTATGCTGGACTACTGGGTGAACCGACTAGAACGCACCACAGGCAGGAAGGCCCACTGCAGGAAGGGATGAGGGAGTTAGGGTTAGCACACGACAGTGGCCCAGGGTGGAACGCAGCACAGAGCGTAAGGAGTGCTGGGACAGGAGAGATGACAGAACATGGGGGGTGGCACTGTGAAGGCAGGAGGCGACCCAGAGCGACCCCACTGCCCAGTGCCCACAGCACCAACACGGCACAGAACACGAGGCTAACAGACTTGCAGCAGGAAACAAGTGGAAGTCCACAGTCAGTGGCTCGGCAGAGCTCGTGGTCGGGGGTCAGAGGTCACCAACGCGGCAAAATGCTAACCAAGAGAGCAGGTGAAGACATCTGAGGAAACACACAAGGAGAGGAGAGGGGCTCAAAGAACCCAGAGAACAGAAACAGCCCTGGCGGCAGGTGCAAAGGCACAAAGCAAATCAAAGGCTTTCCAAACAAAAGGAAAAACTGACAGACAACAGTGTTACAGACAAGTTTCAAAGAGAAATTAGTAATAATGAAAATACCGCAGAACAGGAGAAAAGGTCCTGGTGGATGTGACCGTTAACTCTATCGACCGATATGACAGGGCTGGGGGCAGAAGGTAGGGAGCGAGCAGGAGGTGACGATGGGGGCAGAACAGGAGGCACCAAGCACACAGCTCTGCTGGGATGCCTGAGGTGGGCCCAGCGCAGGTGCCAGGAGGGAGCGGTGAGCGGCAGACACGTGTCAAGGGCCTACACGGTGATGGTGCTGCCACCTCCTCTGCTATCCCTGCTCAAGTGTTGGTCCAAGCACAGTAACTGCTCGCTGATGGGCACTGACCACAGGAAGGCCCTGTGCAGGGCAGGACTGCAGGGCACAGGCCTACCCGGGGAGGGCACCATCCGGCCTTGGCCTGGGAGAGCTGAGCGCCTTGCCAACCTCACAGGGAGGGGAGGGAAGCTGTCACCAAGAAGGGTGAACTTGGAGGCTGCAGTAGGTTTGAGGACAGCAAGATTTAGAAATGGAGCTGAGAGAGCAAGAATAACTTCAAGCAAAGACAAGGTGAAGGCGCTGGACAGCAGAGCAGGCTGGGCTATGCCTCAACACGCCACGCTGGCAGGTCCACTCCAACAGTGGGCCTGCTGCTTCCCCAGCCAGGGAAGACTGGCCAGTCCACGCTCACAAAGCACTCGGGGGAAATGACATGGATGGCTACGAACCGAAAAACACTAGTAATACTTAACTCACACATGCAATTCACATTTCTAACATCTTTTTCTTTTAATTCTACTTTGAGCCAAATCATCTTCAAAGTACTTTACAACCTGAGCAGCTGCACTCAGCACACAGGCACATCTCTGCCTGCACCAATCATTTCGCTGCAGAGAAACGTGGTCACGTCCCGTGCAGGAGACGAGCAGCACTGCCCAACTGCGCCCACAGTGAGCTCAGCAGGAAAGCCAGCCGCTGCCCCCGCAGTCAGAATGTAGCCAAGGCGGCAGCAGGAAGCAGGAGAGGGCGAAGCTCGTCGTGGTTACCACCTCCCTGCGTGTCCACCAGCGCCCCGCCTCAGCAGGGCCTGGCCCCGCCGACAGAAAACAGCACGGCAACAGACACGCTCAAACAGCAAAACCTACGCTTCAAAAAGGCCTGCAAACAATTATAAAGCGCAGCATCCTTTAATAAGATTCTTCCTGAGATGCCAATAGTTACATGGCTATGAAACTAGACTTGCAGAGGCAAACGAAAAACAAAACAAAACCAAAACTGCTCTTCACTGCCACCCAAGGAAGGGCAGGGACTAGTGCCTGAGCTGCCCGGGCCAGGCAGTCTGTCCACTCTATCGGCGGCATCGGAGACATACCGCTGCATTCAGAGTCACAGCACAGCCACCGCGAGCTCTGAGGCGCAAGTCAGGGCCAGCGTACCTGCTTGCTGTAGTCTCTCACTCCACTTTCCATCACCGCTAACTTTTCTTGCAACTGCTGGACTTCCTGTTGAAGTTCTTGAATCCTGAAACACATTTATAACTGATGCCGACATGGTCTTAAAGAGGCTTTTGAATTTTAAACATTATTTTCAATTTGAGAGATAGACAGTAAGAGACAGAGCCCGAGTGAGCGAGCGAGCGAGCCACGCCCCACCTGCTGGCAGCCGAAGCTGGAAACACAGTGAGGCTGGCAGCTGGGCACCCTCTCTTGATGCCCTCACCCGCTGGGTCCCCAGGTGCTCCTAAGCAGGAACCTGGAGCCCGAAGCAGAGTCAGTACTGAAGCGCATGTATCCTACGTGGGGTACAGCCGAGCAGCACCTCACCCGCCCCAACACATCCTTGGTTACACCTGGGCTCTCTGCTCTGAGCGAGGGACGAGGCGCTGCCCAGAGAGCCCAAAGTCCCCCCGCGTCCTGCTCCGCCCCAGGACAGCACACTGACTCAGAGTCAGCTTTATCAAAAACAGATGAAACACTGAGTGGTAAATAATATAAAACTGATCCACTATGCAATCAAAAGCCTCACTATGATCTGTAGACAACTTTTAGCTTCAAGAAACTTGTGGTCTAGTGCAAAACTCCCAAGAAGTGAAACGAGGAACTAAATTGTGTTTTCTGACCCTAATCAGCCCTCCATCGACTACAAACCATGCCACTTCTACAGATGAGAAAAAAACCCATACCAGAATTTTTCAAGCAACTACCTCAACAAAACTATTCCTTCCAAAATTTGTTAATTCTGAGAGTGAGGTTTTTTTTTTTTTCCAAATTATCTGAATCTTAAAGGCATATATTTGCACTGTCCCAAAACGGCACCACCCACTTTCACACCGGGGCGATAAATCAAGGCCCACTTTCAGGAGACTCCTTGCCAGGGGTGGAGTGAGGCTAGATCAGCCAGCTCCTGGTACCGATGGAGCCGGGGCATCTGCAGACCGGGCTTAGCAGGCGTGCACGTGTGACTGCCCTCACAAATGCACGAGTGACTCAAAACACAAAACTGAACAACACAAGTAATAATTTTAATAACTAATGGTTAGTCTGCGACACCCGGATCCTAACAAAATTCCATAAATTTGGAAGTACTAAACAGCTCATGGGTGAGGTCAGACATCTTTGTGCCCACAGGCAAGGATACTGGATGAAGAGCTCCCAATCAATGCTTCCTATCATTTATTCTGCTCAAGAAACTGAAAATCTCCCCCATATCTGCACAACCTTCAGCCTAAAAGGTCACCTGCACCACTTCCTCTCCCTCCCCTGCAGCTGAAATGCCCGCCCAGCGGGCACCAGGCAGACCATGACCCCCGCTCGCAGGCTGCTGTGAATTCCTTCCAATTTGCTGAGTGACACTTTGTGTGTGCCTCTCAGAGCTGTGACACGCCTCACTCATCCTGACAGTCCGAGAACACTCCTGCCCCGCAGGCTCGAGGAGTTCCAATACGTGGAACTGATGCGGGATTCCAACTGAAGGAAGTAATACAAACAGCCAGCCAGAAAAATCACGAGACGTTTTCGGATCCAGGTGCCCACAAGCTCACGTCCGCCCACATCTGACCTAAGTCTGCATAATAAGGAATCCCATAAACAGTAACCTAATCAAAGCGAAGCTGACTGTCCAAGCGCCTGCACCCGAGCAGGGCACCGGGATGTTACGGCAACCGCAGACAGGAAACCATGGAGACAGGCCTAGCTAAGAGCAAAGTTTCCATTTACTGAGTGCCTGTGAGAAGTTCTGGCCAGAGATTGGCGACTACACACAAAGGACCCAAGTCCTCCTCCCAGGAAAGCCGGGCCCAGGCACACCTGTTATCAGCCACCTGCAGCAGGTCTGCGATGTAGGGGTCCTCGGGCTGGGGGACCGGGTAAGAGCTGACTTCCGACGGGGGCGCCGGCTCGTCGATCTGCATGCGCTGCCGCCTAAAAGCAATGCTTCTTTTCTTGCCACCTAAAATCACAAGGTGCATCTTTACAAGAAACAAAGTAACAAGGTATTCCATTTAAACGCCCCAGGCTAGCCTTTCTGATACAAAACCACCTCAGCAAAGCATTTTCCCCTCAGCTGTAGATATTCAATCTGATCTTTAAACAATGTATTCCTAGAAATCCCAAGACAGTGGTTATAAAACAAATTTTATGCACCTGTCTAAGTGCCCAGACTTCCTGTGTTCCTCCACGAGAAAAGATTTTAGCAGGATTACAAGCTGAGTGTAAGAAATAATCACAATTATGTCATTACAATGTCACGCAAGGAGCTTGGAGGACAATGCACGCCTGGCCTGGGTCCTTGGACTCGCCTGCAAGAACAGGTCCTACTTAATGAAAAAGGTGGAGCAGTGGGCATGGGCCCTGCTCTAAAAGAATACGGCAGCTCATTCGGTGCTGGAGCAGAACAGAACTAATTGGACAACAACCCCAAACAAATGACAACAGAAAGAAACCCAGGTGAATGGAGCCAACAGACACTGGGAAGGTGACATCACCCTCAGATCGGTGAAATCAGCAGCATTCCAGAACTATCCAAACCACGTGGACAGAACCCTCAGAATATGGACACACTGAGACTCTGGGCTGATATGAGGTGGCGGTTCCTCGTGCCTGGGTCTGGGACGTGTGCAAAGTCAGGAGTGTTTCCCTCTCTGTCTCTCCCCTTCCCCAGGAACAAGAAGAAATTGCAAATTTGGAAACAGTGAGTTCATCCAATTTTCCCTAACCCTCGATCCTTCCCACCCTGATCCACTATGTAATCATTATAAAAAGTAAAATATATATGTAAAAAAGAGCAAATAACAAATTTTACTCAGCAACATTAGAACATGATGCAACATTGTCATAAAGCCAAGCCATGCTATAACCTAAATTGTTGTTTGTACAGAATGTTTTCCAAATTATGTTTACAAGTGGTAGGGGTGAATCACCATCCTTAAACAAGATTTTTAACCTTATTTTCCTAAATGGGAGAGACAGGGAGAGTGGGCAAGCTTGCTTCCATCTGCTAGTTCGCTCCCCAAACGCTGGGTTTGTCCAGAGCCAGGAACCCAAGCCGGGTCTCGCACACGCCTGGCAGGACCCCAGGCATCTGCTCCGTCACATGCCTCCCAGGGTGAGCACGGGCAGGACTCTGGAGAGATACTGCAGGTGGGCGAGGAGCCCAGCATCCCACGGCGAACTGAGGCCAAACCCACCAAGACCAAGTACAGTCTGCCTTTTTTCCTTCCACAGTAGTAGACTGAATTTTGTCTTGAAAACACTGACCTGGAGTTTGTACTACAGCATGCAAATTCTTTTCTTGAAGTTGCTGAATTTTTTCATTTTTAGCTTTGCCCTCTTTCTCCAAAAGCTTGAGCTTGTGAACATACTGATTATTAAGAAACTTCAGGTCGGCTGTTTCCCGGGCACACTTCTTCAAAGTGGTTTTCAGGTCTTAATGTTAAAAAGATTCAAGGCTATATTTTAAAGATCAAGAAATCCATGCAATTTCTCCATCTTACAAAATTCAATCAATGCCATTTTGAAGGTTCCACCTAATTCATTGTAGTCTGCTATCAGTGCTAATGAAAATAACTCTCTACGTACACAAAGGAATTTCACTCTCCTGCTCCTCCGGGAGCCTGACACACTCATGGCCTGTGAGCCAATGAACGGGGTGTGAGGCAGGACTGCCCATTCAGACAGAGGCTCGAGGGTAATTCATGAGACAAACCTAACTACCCCGGCCTACCAGCTTTGAAACCACCCTACTCTCTCTCTCATATAACTTTTACCTTACTTCATCACTTTTGTTTTTCAATAAGGGGGAAAAAAAACTGTTTCCAGAATGTTTCTTCAGTTCTAGCATTCAATGTTCCCCATTATTTAATCCAACTTAACTTAATTCTAACATGTCAACCCCCAAGCAGTGGCGCCAATGCAGCTACAGAATGCATTTGCAACTGCCCCCTTCGCAGGACCTGAGGACCCCCACAGTGGCTCAGGTGCTTGTACATGGACTGTCATGGCTTCTCAACAATTTCAAAATCAGACCTTAATTTTTGTTACATATCAGACAAAAAAGGCAAAGAAACGCTGCACTTTAAACTCCCAAGTTTCCACTCACCTCTTACATGCTGGTCTGAATGTTCTCGCACTTTCATCAACTCCAGGTATAACTCATTATTTTCCCTACTCAATCTTGCATTTTCCACTTTATAGGGCTCCAACACAAAATCAAAATTGGCGCTTTCTTTTTCCGCTTTCACAGTAGATAATTTTGCTTGCCGAAGGCTCTCTGTCGTGTGAACTAAGTCACTAGGACCCAGGAACAGAACATGTTAAACCCGAGGAGACAGCCCATTCGCTTCCTAACAGCTAGAAATATATTTCTACACGTTTAACAGATGCATTCATGTGAAGAGAGATCAAATTTTGAATAAAAGCATGAGGGTTTTTTAAGGAAGCAAGAAGCCCTTGCAAACAGGATGATTTGCAAGCCACAGACACACACACACACCACTTTCCATCCCCTCAGGGCCACCTGGAGTCTGTAAAGGGACCTGGTCTCTGGAAGACTGAGCCCCTAGTTCTCAGAACACAAACCAACGGACTAACCGCTCCCTAAACTCAAGTGAGCAGGAACGCACACAGCCGTCAGCACCGTGCAGGCTGCAGAAGGGGGTCTGCAAGTTCACGGGCCACAGGATATGTTTTAACTTCTTCTTCCCACAAACATTCAAATCATTAATTACTGTAGCCACTGCAGAAAACAGTGTGTAGATTTCTTTTAAAAAACAAAAGAAACAAACCTAGAGGCAGGAGGCCAATGTACTGGCTCAACTAGCTCATCCTCCACCTTGCAGCACAAGCATCCCATGAGGGCATCAGTTTCTGTCCCAGCTGCTCCATTTCCCATACAACTCCTGCTAGTGGCCTGGGAGGCAGAGGCAAACGGCCTAAACCCTCGGGTCCTTGCACCCGCATGCAGACCCCAAGGAAGCCCCCACCCATTGTGGCCATCTGGGGAGTAAAGCAGTGGATGAAGAATCTTCATCTCTACTCTCAGTAAATTTTGCTGTAAATAAAAATAAATAAATCCTTTAAAAAAATTAGAAAGAGACTGGCCGTGGGATCCAGTGATGCCGCTACTGGATATATGCCCCAAACACTTGAACATGGCGTATTAGAGACGCCGGCGCCACTGTGTGTCTAGCAGCACAAGAGCCACAACCAGCCATCAGCCCAGCTGCCCGCCGTCAGATAAATGGAAAAAGAAAATGTGGCATATACACACGACGGCATATCATGCAGCTATTAAGAGAAAGAAACGTCAGTGTGTATCAGTATTGCTGCAATTAGTTTTGTAAAATCTTATAACCTGTGACTAAATTCGCTATATGCGAGTGAGTCATTTCTTCATGTAACCATTAGTTACCACCACGCTGTACTCCCACCGAACTAAGGGGCTTTCGCTTGCACTTGTGAAACTCTGTGTTTGGTGAGTATTAAGCCTTTTTACTGTAACCTAAATTTACAATGTTATCTCAAAAACTAAAAAACAGAAACAAAAGGAAGAAAGGAAGGTGGGAAGAGGGGAGGAAGGCCGTATCACCATGTTCTTAAGAATTATTTGAATCTGTTAAAAAACTAATCAAAAATAAAACACCAAAAGAAAATTATAATTAATTAGAGCCAGAGGGTAACATGAGAAAGACGCAGATGCAGATGGTCCAGCCAGACGGCCACTGAGCCAGGGCTGCAATGGGTGAGGCCAGGAGCCAGGACTCCACCCAGGGCTGCCCCATGGTGACAGGGGCCTAAGTACTTGTCCCCCCAGGAGCCCTAATGGGAAGCTGGGCCACAGGAAGCAGGTGGGACTCAAACCAGCACTCCGACATGGGATGTGAGCGTGGTGCAGGCTGCTCACTACGCGGAGCTCCTTCTAGGAACTAGACTCAAGTACCCTTGTATTCTGACAGTTTGGCAAAATGTCCTACCATTTCCATGCCCGTTCTATGTCCCATGGGCTAAAGGCACTGATCAGTGATGAAGGGTCTCCAGTCACAAGGCTGGCCCTCCAGAGGCACAGGCCGCTGTGAGTGCCACTCCACAGTGCAGACGGCAGGCCCCAGGTACATCCTGCAGCACATGCGGCTCAGGAGCGCAGAGAGCAAGGACCTGCTGGTGACTTCACGCCCGGACACCACACTGCAGGGGACAGACACCTGGGCCAGCCAGGAGGCACCTGACAAGCCACCGGCAACACCGCAAGATCTCCAGCCACCCACCCCTCCCCGTCACCGCCTCTCGCGGCCCACCACGACAGACCCTGACAACTTCCCTGCCCCAACCTCAAGCCGCTCCAACACAGTTCCTGAAGAAAAGGGGGAAAATCATAAAAAAAAAAAAAAAACTTTCCAATTAAAGCAGCACATGACAGCTAAACCAAGGCCAACAAGATATTAGAGAGCCATTGCTAACAGGACAGAAAATAAAGACCAGGAAAGCAGACAGGGGAGCCGGGACGGGCTTCTCCACAGCAGCAGAGACCCCCACAGCCCCACTCTGGCCTGCGCAGTGAGCGGTGGGCACCAGGCTCCAGCAGGGCCAGGCTGAGGAAACAGGAGAGAACTCATGCCGTGGGGCTCACAGACTGCGCCCCGCTCCTACGGGTGCTCGAGTTTTCACCTGAAAAGCTTCTCCACCAGCGGCAAAGACTCCACGGCCAGAGCCTGCCGGTAGCCGAGCTGGTCCAGTCTCTTCCTGATGTTAGCGTACTTCCTCTCGGCAGCCGTGGTCATCTTGTCTTCCGGCCTCAGTTCTTCTCACGTCCAGAAACTAAAGTCCTAGGAGCAAAGAATGAAACAGCACCACGTGAGCGGGCCCAGGACCGAGACCGACTCTTGGCAAAGGAAACAACTCTTTTGTTGTTCTTCAGCAGTCACTGAAACCCAATCCCTGTGACATTCATGTTGCTGTATTAAAGTATGCCTCTTCAGAAACTTAAACGTGTGCATTAAAACAATGGAAGAGTCTAGAATAGTCAGCCTGAGGTGGGGAATGACAGTCAGTGGTCCTTCCCAAAGTGCTAAGCAGAAAAGAAAAACTTGACAAACGGGACAGCACCAAGATTAGGAGTGCCTGCTCATCAAGACAGTCCTCCAGGACGTTTAAAGGCAAACCGAAGTGTGGGAGAAGCAAGCACGGTGCACGACACAGAACCTGCATGAGGGCCAACAGGAACTTCACAGCTCAATAAGAATCCAGCAGGAAAACATATTTGGATTGAAAGTGAAACTTGGGCCTGGTGTTGTGGCGAAGTGGGTTAAGCCACTGGATGTGATTCTAATATCCCAAACGGCCGTCAGTTTGAGTTTCCCTTCTACCAGCCTGGGAGAGCAGCGGAGGACAGACAAGTGCTTGGGTCCCTGCACCTGCATGGCACATCTCCCTCTTGCTAACTTAGCCTTTCAAATAAATTAACTAAACTTTAAAAAAAACCCAAAACACTGAAAATCCAGTTTTGCCTGTCTTGGTACTGGCACTTTGCCAAAGGGAACCTGCACAGAAGCACTGCAGAAAAAGCATTCACCTGTCACCAGGGAAATATCATCTGGAACCACAGTCGAGGCCAATGGCCTCCATCCCACACACACATGCCAGATGGCAGCAAAGCTGGGAGCGCCGGCTCACAAACAGGGTACAGCCACTTGGGGCACAGTCTGTCACCCTGAAACTTCCACAAGAGTGTCCCAGTGGAAACCCCCTGAACACCTGTCGACAGAAGGGTGGGTGAGCCAGGCACGCCACGACCTCTGGATACATGCCAGGGACGCTAAGCAAAGCAGCCCCCTGCTGCTCCACGCACTGCAGCAAACCCCAGGAGACACCCACACCTGTGCCAGGCCAGAGTGGCCTCAGGGCTCAGCAACAGGTAGCATCGAACCGCTGCCACAGACACCATGCCAGGGGGAAGGCAGGGGCGGGGAGGAGGGGTGTGGACACAGACCGGCACCTCCCCGGGGGCCCTCAGCTCCCCCAAGCCCCTGTCCTGGTGTCACTCCTGCCCCACACCCTCCCTCCTGGGCCAGGGGCTTCCGGCAGGCATGCAGGAAACTCCTGCAGACTGGAGGAAAAAAACAACCGACCCCGGACCGCCTGAGCACGGCCGGGGCAGGCCGGAGCCGGGACAGGGCCTCCAGCTCGGCCTCCCCAGGATCCACACCTCGGCTACTCCCGGCGCTTTAAAACACCATGACGGCCAAGGTCTCGGGCTCACATCCCGCCCATCCAAACCCTGCGGGGACGTCTCCAAGCTTCCAGCCAAGACAGCCTCAAACAAACGCGCGGGGCTCTCGAACCGTCCACCGCGGCCTGCCCCCGACCCCCGAGCACGCGGCCTCGGTCACCCCCAGCCCGCGGGCGCCCAGACCCCGCAGCGCGCCCCCGGCCCAGCAGCCCCGGAAGCCCGGGGCGCGCAGGGAGCGCTCCTCTCGGGCCCCGTGCCCCTGCACCTCCCGGCGCCCCCTGCCCCTCTCGGGCCCCCTGCCCCTCCCGGGCCCCGCGCCCCTGCCCCTCCCGGGCCCCGCGCCCCTGCCCCTCCCGGCGCCCCCTGCCCCTCCCCGCGCCCCTGCCCTCCCGGGCCCCGCGCCCCTGCCCCTCTCGGGCCCCGTGCCCCCTGCCCCTCCCGGGCCCCGCGCCCCTGCCCCTCCCGGGCCCCTGCCCCTCTCGGCGCCCCCTGCCCTTCCCCGCGCCCCGCGCCCTCTGCGCGGCCGGCAGGCTCGGAGCCCGGAGGCCGGAGCGGCCCGGGCAGGCCCCGCCGCACTCACCGGCAGCCCCGGCCGCCGCCGCCGCCGCCTCATCGCCCGCGGGCCTCGTCGCCCCCGCCGCCGCCGGCTCCGGCTGAGGGGCAGTTTGAAAATGGCGCGGAGAGGGCCTCGGTCAGGGCCGGCCCGGAGGAGCAGGAGGCGGAGGCGCGGCGGTTGCCCGGTAACCGGGCCGGGTCGCGAGGGCGCGCCGGGAACCCGCCGGCCGGAAGCGCGGGGTCGGGGCGGGCGGCGGGCGGCGCCCCCTGGCGGCCGGGCCAGCCTCGGCGGCTGTCCGGAAGCTGAGCACCTGCTGCGCGCCCCGCGGCCGTAACCGCTCCGTAGGTTACAGCCCCTCTGCTGCGCACAGTGCTGCATCACCTCCCTTCTGTGTGCCGGTCAGCTTGAGCCTCAGGAGCTGCTGGCCGGCGCTTCCAGCAAGCGACCGGCTGGGTTCTGGACAGGGCTTCCATGCGGCTCACAACCACGCCTCTTTTTTCTTTTCCGTTGCAGAACAAAATTTGTGTTTGGAAAGAGGAGGCTGTAAATCAACATAACAGGATGGCTGCTGAAGAGCCAGCCAGCCAATCAGGATGCCTCTTGAGTTTCCTTTTGCCCCAAACACACACCACTTAGAAAATGTGTACTGAAACCCCGTAAGTGCAGAGGAGGGGAAGTCCAAAGCCACAAGATAGCTCTGCTCCGAGTGACTGGGGAAGCCAGGCTCGGGCTAGCTGCTTACCCAGGTCTGAGGGCCATGAGCACAGCGGAGGGGTTGGGGGAACAGCAGCCTGGCCCCCTGGCGGCACAGGGATGTTCCTTAGCGGGGCTCCATGGGGGCATCGAGGATGGAGACGTGGCAGAGGTATCAGAGAAAAAGGAACGCCGTCACTGCGAACGGACTTTGCTGAAGAAATCGGACGCACGCGAGCATGAGCCCACAAGAGAAGCCATGAAAAGGAGAGTTCTCTCTGATGCCGCCGTTTAGAAGTGACCTGGAAGGCCATCTAGTTGGCCTCACTCCTGTGGCACCTGCTGGGCGGTTCTTTCCCGCACTCTAGAATGTTTGATGGCTTTCCTGGCTGCTGTGCTGTGGAGGCTTGATGGCTCGATGAAGATGAAACTGCCATTAAAAACATGAAGAATTACTAAATGCAGCAGGGACAAGTGGGTGTGTATGGGATCCAATGCAAAAGCTTGGAGGGTAAACTACAGTCTAAGTGCTAAAAAGTTTATTCAACAGATAACTAGATCAGGTCGTTGGAAGCATTTAGACTACTCACCTGGCTCAGCAGAGACACATGTGCGAAATACCTCTGATGTATTCTGTATGCACAGATTTCAGAATTATTCTGCGCCAAAATAAATCTTTTCATTGTTTTCCATAAATTAAAAAAAAATTTATTTGAAAGATGGACAGAGATCTTCCATCCCCTCATTGATTCCCCCAGAATGCCGGCACCAGCTGAGGTTAGGCCAGGCGGAAGCAGAAACCAGACACCACAGCCAGATCTGCCACGTGGGCGCCAGGGACCCCCATGGGGTAAAGCTACCTTCCAGGATAAGCATTAGCAGGAAGCTCTACTTGGGAACAAAACCTGGACTTGAACCCACACACGGAAGGCTTCTCAAAAGACATTTCGATGGCAACACCTGCCCTATGCGAGCTTTACAAAGTACTCCCCTGCAGACAACAACTACACAAGGCACCAGGGAAGCAGCAGTGGCAGGAGGCCGGAGGCTGGCCCAGGACATCCACACCAGAGCCCTTTCCTTATTTGGCAAGAAGTGCTTCGGGGACTAATTAGGAATAAAGACTCTCAACCAGGGTTAGGGACGTCTTGGATTGCACAGGCCGCCTCAATCCTTCTACACAGACTTGAAAGCAGAAAAGTGGGGAATCAAGATGGCAGAATAGGGTAAGGACACGTTTAAACAGACAGAAACATTAGCCAGTGTGAAGCAGAGACGGCACATTCCAGCAAATAGGAAAGAACAGAACAACAGCAGAGCGGCACCTGGAGACTGACAGACCCAGGAAAGCAGCGGACACACTGGGATAACCCAGTGGCATTCAGTGAGCAGTGATCTGAACTGCACCCGTGGCCAGAACTGCACCAACAACAAGGTGGGGAGAGACATTCGCTGGGAGCTCAGGAGGTGAACCCAGATGAAGAACTGCCCATCCTGCTGGTCTGTTTGATTTGATGAGGAGCAGAGTCAGAGTGACAGGCCCCAGATGGGTGGTGCGGGAACAGGGTGGATTACACAGCACATTCTGCCCCCTCAAGCTGAATCAGGTGCCATTTTGTGTAGGGAGGCAAAGGACTGCCTATGCACTGACCTGGGAGTGAATTCATTGCTGGTTCGGTGAACTGCAACAATGTGGCATCCTTCAGATTCAGATATGTCCGGGTAGGCCTCAGACCTGACAGCCAACAGATCAAGAACTCTGTTAGCGGCACACCAGGCGCCACTTTGAACAGTGTGGCAAAGGCTTTAAGACTGTGGGGACAACCTCAGAGTTAACTGAGGAAGACATCAAGAAAATGGGGGATACAGAATTCAGAACAGTTGTTATAAAGCTTCTTATCAACAATAAGATCTTTGTTTTTGAGATATGTCTCCTGTAGGCAACAAATAGATTTTTTTAATCCAGTCTACTAATCTATGACATTTGATTGATGAGTTTAAGCCATTTACATTCAGAGTTAACATGAATAGGTGGTAATTTGTTCCTGTCATTTTAGCAATGGGTTGTTCATTGATTTAGTCTTCTGTTGTGATTTTACTGGGATGTTCTTTACATTTGCCTTTGGTTTTGGTGGATGCTATTCCTTTTTTCTGTCAAGAAAATGTCTTTAAGTATCATTTATAGGGCAGGTTTGGAAGAGGCATATTGTTTCAAATTTTCCTTACTATGGAAGGATTTTATTTCATTTTCAAAGACAAAGGAAAACTTTGCTGAGTACATTATCCTAGGCTGACAATTCTTTGCTTTTAGAATCTGGAATATTTTGTTCCATTCTCCTGTGACTTGTAGAGCTTCCTATGAGAGGTCTCCTGTGAATTTAACTTTTTTTTTCATGTGCACATTTAAGGATCTTTCCTTAAGTCGATTGAAGAAAGCTTGATTAACAAGTGTTCTGGTGAAGATTGCTTTTGGTCAAGCTTGTTGGGAATTCTGTGCCCCTCCTGGATCTTGTTTCCCAATTCTTTCTCAAGATTAGGGACATTTTCCCTTATTATTTTATTAAATACATTTGTAAATCCAGCTTCTCTTTCTGCACCTTCTGGGATTCCCATAACTCTTATATTTGGTCTTTTAATAGTGTCTTTCAGGTCTTGAATACTTTTTCTAGCTTGACCCAGCTCTGCTTCCAACTTTTTGTTTGTTTTCCCCTGGTGACAGGAAATATCTTCCAACTCTGAGATTTGCGGGGAGCAGTGCTGTGCTGGAGCTGACCCCAAGTGCATGATAGGCGGTCGCAAGATGGCGGCTAACCGAGGGCCAGGAGGCGGGGTTGGTCCTGCCAGTAGGCAAACAGGAAGTCACGGGGATAGGCTGATGCCCCCTCTGTGATTATGTCATTGCTACTGGCCTATCAGGTAGCGCCCAGTGGACCCACGGGGAGAAGTGATTGGTGGAGAACTGTATATAGGCAGCCCGCTTTTGGCAAGAAACCCTTTTTGTTCGGCTTTTCATTCGCCCTCTTTTTCATCCGGCTTTTCGTTCGCTTGTTCGTTCATTCATTTCTCTGTGTGTTCGTTCGGTGTGTGTGCTGGTTGTGGTGGTGGTTCCTGTTTTTCCAGGCCCTCGATAGTCATCGTCATTTTAGTGTCGCTCCAAAGAGGCGTGACAGAGATACTTTCTTCTGCATCTTTCATGCTATTTTGGAGACTCTCTGCTGTACTTTTAATTTGCTCCACTGTATTCTTCATTTCTGATATATCAGCTTTCATTTGATTCATTTTCTATGTGGCATGTTCATTAAATTTCTTGAACTCCTGGGATACATTTGTATACGTATTGCAGTAACAGTAAAAGCAGTGAAATCCACTACATCTGAGAGGCAATACTTGAAGAGTTAACAGCAAAGAACTTCCAATCCATCTAACTAAGGAGGACAGGTTAAACATGCCCAGTAGCTTCAGCTGCTTGCCTCTTTTACCCCCTAAAATTGCAACTCTAAGGTGCTTTCTAAAAATGATATATTTATTTTATTTGAAAAATCAGAGTTTCAGGGAGGGAGAAGCACAGAGATTTTCATCTGTTGAACTTGGACCTCTGCGTCTGTCTCCACACTGCCTCCCCTTGATCCCTGTCGAGTCTCCCTTGCCAGCAGTTTAGATACATCCCTCAGCTCCTGCAGCTGCTGAGACCCCAGAGTTAGACGTTCATGGGACCAATAGCATAGGAAGCTACTGCAGCCGGGGGTGGCAGTGAGGTCTCTTGCAGGAAATCCATAATCTTTGGGAGCTGTGCCCTAGAAGGCAGCTCTCAAAGGAGGCCATGCCCCTGGCAGAGGGGGCTGTGCCCCTGGCAGGGTTGGGTTGTTCCCTTAGTGAGTGGTTCTCAGAGGGTCCTGTGTCCCTGGCAGGCAGCTCTCAGAAAGGACTGCTGTAAAAGCCGACTGCAGTCTGGCCTCTTCTCCCTGGCCCCCTGTGTGCTCCTTGCTGCACGGTGTCCTACCAACTGCCCCCTGCACCATGCCATGTAGCTTGAACCTGAGCTGAAGAAACTCTCTTCTTCAATAGTAGCTTACCTCAGGTATTTTGTTGTAGTAACAACAACAAAAAAAGCCCTCTCTAAGACATTCCCTGTGTATTTTACATGAGGACATTTGTCATGGTTTCAGGTCTCACCCGGCTCTTCCAAAGCTTTTCATCTCGAGGTCCTGATTGCTCTTCTGTCTGCAAAGATCCTGTATTCACAGAAGACAGCATCTGCGGATTCCAAAGATTGAGTCTCAGGCTCACCTCTTGAGGAAGAGGGATTCTCACTCTGTACAATACACCCCTCTCCCTGAACATTTTAATTTCATCTGGAGAGCAGAAAAGCA